AAATATTTAACACTATATAATATAAAGGCTGGACAAGACTTGAAAAATCAACAAATTTTAACTATTTTGGGCAATTTTAGCTGATATCAAAATTTGACAGATCAGTCTATACAGAGTGTTTTATAAGGTAGTGTCTTGCCTTAAATATACATTATGGGAGATAAGATAGAGATGGCAGTCCTCGCTATAATAGTTAAAAACTAGATAGTGTAAAGGTAATTTGCTGAAAATTTCAGTCAAATTGATCCACTATGAGCCGAGAAAGAAGCGGGTGAAATTTTCGCATAGCCTCGGTCATCATTACTAAAATCATTAATATAAACAGCATAGTCTCGATTATCCACTGTTTTAATTTAATTATCAATGGTCGTTGAGCGGCATTATAGGAATCTAATTATGGTCTGGATACGTTAATTAATGTCTAATTGATAATTTAGATAACATTTCAGGCCTAAAGAAAGACTTGTAATAAGCAGATTTTGCTCTTGCATAATGCATGGTTAATTTGGACGTTGTACTTGATATCATTTCATTAAGATAGTACATAATTTTGACTCTGAGATAAATACATGTGAACAATCTTACATCGACCACCTATTGATTTGAAACCGTCCAAATTTCAAATTATCCGATAATGAAAGCCTTTACTTCATAATTAAGTTATGATCAACGTATGCTAATAGTAACATCATCAGATCTAAGTTACTCACTGAAATGTATTTGTTGGAATTGAGGTCTGATTAATTTCCATGGATTATTGACGTACACGGACTTGACCTGTGAATTATGGAAACCACGGAAATGAATATCCTTAACCTGTCAAACAAGTTACGTCTGTTTGCCGTAAATTGTCCGTTATTAGATTCAGATGTTTCTTATTGATTTTTCAAGCTTTATGGCATCCAGTTTCCGAAAAAGGAGTTTAAACTAACATAAAACTGTATTAATGCAAATAAGATACTGTCAGAAAATATCAAATTTCTCGCGGTATAATCCACGCTAGATGTATTCAGATTAATTATTTAACCATTGATTATCAATACTAGGTTACACATGTATCTCCCAGCTTGGATTCAGTTGGATTAAAAACAGCCCTATTAATTACATGTAGATTACATGTAAATAAATGCTGTTAAAATGACAGCAGATGTTTTATATATAATATCTGGACGTCATCCGACAAACAATTTGTAACTGGCGTCTAGCGATCAGGCTCCAGTAGACTGGTTTTGTCAAGAGATTCTGTCGAAAAAAAGCAAAATGTATCATTTAAATAACAGGCAGCATTGCTTGATCATTGGAATATCATTTCATATCTTTGTAAAAACGGAATTGAACCATTCGTACTGAAAACATTTCTGTTAGCTTGCCTCCTTTTATGGATTTAAAAAATAATTATGTGAGCGTTTTTGTTTCGCTTTCTTCAAATGAAGTAGCTCGCTCCATAGTTGGTGAGGGCGGGAAGGGGGATTGTTTGGGCAAAATAATCTGTATTTTTTTCCCTTTCGTATTATGGCTGGGAATTACTGGAACTTTCAAAATCAATTATGTCTTGCTTGAAATTGATATAGCCAATAATGAAGTTAATGCTTATTATGTTATATCCTAAATTATTATGGATGGTAGCTTTTTACAACTTAATTACAAAATTACTATCATTTTGAGAATCGATTTAGACATGCTAGAATCTGTTGTCGAAATCAGTCGTGCTGCTGTAACGCGCATCGCCACATTTAACCTTCTTTTGAAGTCTCCATATGGAATTGATTATATTGGACTCCAAATGAACTGTAATTAATGGATGAATAGACTTGGTGGGATTGTAGCAAATTACAAAAATAGATATTTAATTATTATAAACTGTTGAACCCCATGTCTCTGCTATCAATACCCAATCAATAGATATTAATATATTTATACAATATATATCATACATGTACCTTACAAAACAGCTGTCGGGCTGTAATTGAAAAAATATAAATTTATGATTGTATGACTCAAGCGATTTTATATTTCTAGTTAAGCATTCTCAGACTTAATTTGTTCGCTTTATTTTATCTAAAATATAGCCCTTTAATAAAATGTTTTAATGTATCAAATACATAAATAAGAAATTATATGCAAAGTTTTGTTTTCTAAATCAAGGATATTTCTCATAAACAGTGATTGAAAGTTGAGTAAATTCTTAAACATACATACATTAAGTAAGAGCTAAATCTGCTTATTGCAGGTCTTTCTTTAGGCCTGAAATATTATCTAAATTATTAGACATTAATTAACATATCCAGACCATAATCAACTGCGATCTGTAGTGTATTATGATCCGATTTACTGCATAACTTTCCTTCATGATTTAATGATTAAATGGATAATCGAGACTTATGATTTTTATCGTACCGACTTTAGTAATGATCGAGGCTAGGCGGAAATTTCAATTGCTTAATTCTTGGTTCATAGTGGATCAATTTGAATGAAATTTTCACCAAATTGCCTTTACATTATCTAGTTTTTAACTATTATAGTGAAAACTGCCAACTCATTATCTAATCTCCCATAATGTATCTTTAATTTAGTTAAAATAAGGCAAACAATTTTGAGTAAATTCTTAGTCCGAGAATGCTTTGTGTACTAGGTTATTTCGGCACTAATAGATGGCATCATTTAATTCCAATAATCTGCTTTCGTGGAACGGTCTTTTGCAGTGGGAGGAAATAGGGAACCGAAAAACCCATGGAGTTAGGTAGGCGACGCTACTCTTCGCATACAAACTTGTCAATGAAAATCGCACCATTTGAGGGACCTTACAATCTAAAGTACCCTCATTATACCACTTGATCACCCAACCTGTCTTGTGTCATTCAAGATGATGAGAGCTTTGATTCAGTCATTTGTTTTATAAATGATACACCTCCGGCTGACTGAATTGAATGACATAAAATATTCTACAGTGTATAAAAAAAAAAAACAATGATTCAATTTTAGATCAAATTTGGTGCAAATAAGTTTGTATTGCAAGGTTTTAGTGTCCTTCAAATTACATTGATATTGATCTGTGATAAAACAAATGATTAAATTATTATCTAAAAACGTTAAGTTCTTGTGTCGTTGAAGAAGACATTTCGTCGTGTTAGAAAATGTTATCTGTAAAATCGATATTAAATACATTTAGTGAAATATATCGGTAGGAAAATTTCAGTGTTGGACTTGTCTGCTACATGTATAAAACCACTTCAAGACGATTTATAGAACCTGGAAAAGGTGATGAAAAAGTTTAGTTGTCAATTCATCTACAACTTTTTTGATTATAAATCATTGTTATTATATGGGACATTTTATGAAGTTCTGTGTCTTTTTAAGAAATAAAATGAGGTTTAAAGTCCTACTGTTTTGCACTGATTCGGCATATGCCGTACAGTGTGAGGGGAAATTTTGCCCAGACAGCGACACTACAGCCAACTACTATATCGAATTCCAACTATCAAGATTGTTTGGGGGGGGGGGGGCTTCCCATCCAAACGACTATACATTGTCTCTTGCTAGACAGGGGGGTTGGATGGCTGAATGGTTAGCGTGCGCGCGCTGTATCATAAAGTCTGTCATTGAGTCGGCTGGCGTGGTTTCGAATCCCCGGTTGTACGTGACAATGAGTAGGGTTGCCTGTTCAAGCTCCAAGCGAATTATGTAAATAAAATTAAACCATATGTTAGTCCCGAAATGACATAGTTTGTGTCAAGTGGACGTTAAACCCCATTTCTCTCTCTCTCTTCGTTGCTAGACCCTCTGTCATGTACCACTGACAATTGGGAACCACGCCATAATTAGTTGGAACATTCTTGGTCAACGCAGGCATCGAACACACGACGTTCAGGTTAATTAGCCACTGTGACACTATTGTGAATTGTAATTAAGTTAGTGATATGTTATTGACAATGTGTTAATTTGATTACAAAGGTAGATTGATTAACTCTGTTGTTGTTTCTAGTCCTAATCAGTTTGTTGATGTAAATATTTGATAAGATCAACTGAAAAACCTGAAATGTTCCATCACATGAATCATCTAAATATAGATTTTCTCTCTCGTTATTCAATACCATGTTGTTGTGAACTCGGATTAGATATAAACCATAGATCATGAGGACTGTCATTGAGTCAAGTGGCTTTGTTTGGATTCTCCTCATTGTAGGGTTCTCCGGTTTCCTCCCACTAGAAAAGACCCTACATACAAACGAATTATTGAAATAAAATTGAACCATATGTTAGTCCCAAAATGACTTAGTTTGTGTCACATGGACATTAAGCCCCATTTCTCCCCGAAGTCACTTCCCTTATTGTTTTTTAGATTTTTCCCAATTGGTCCATTTTGAATTGTCATCTTGTAATTTTACAGTAGGTTACCCCCAATAATCACATAGCTTCAGACACGATTTAGTTTGAAGTAGCAGCATTTTTTTGTTTCATTTAATAATCTGGCCTTCGTCCCACATCTAAAATTTCTATCCATTTCTTTCCCTGGTTAAATTCCTCCCGTTAGATTTGAAAGTTCTTCCCTGGAATCCTAGTGCCTCCTGTTTCAGAATGTTGGAAATGTTCAGTTCTTCATATCGTTGTATAACTAAATATAATTGAACCATGTTACGGCTACTATTCCTTTTAAAGTTCCAGCTTTTACAGTATTGTGTACAAGGGAAAATCCCTCAAATGACAGTGACTTTAACAGCGCTAATGTTCTGAATTCTCACAGTACTTGATAGTTGCATAAAATAGCTGAAATGTGGACAAAACTAAACAGAATTGAACCATTTATTGGCTTATATTCCTTTTAAAGATTTAGCTTTTATATTATATATTAAACAAGGAATTTAACCTTTGACCTCGCTTATTCTAAATTATGCCCAGTACTTGATCATTGCCAAAAGTACCAGTAGCTGAAATGTAGACAAAACGGAAGATTAAATCTTAAGTTTTTATTTTTTGACTAATTGATATTTTGTTTTATTCAGGGAGCTTTTGGAGCTCTACAGAAGATCTGTGAAGATTCTGCTGAATGTTTGGACAATGATGTTGTTAATCGACCTCTGAATATTCTTATTCCTAAATTTCTTCAATTTTTTCGCCATCAAAGCCCTAAAATAAGGTAAATCATCAATATTTATCATTTGCCTCGTTCACATTTAAATTGCAAATCATCATGTTTTACAACTCTTAATAGCTGGTGTGCTTAATATATGTACCGAGACGCAATTTGAATGTACAACATATATTACTGAAAGTACTGGCAAGACATAATGAAACTGAAATGTGATATTTGGAAAGATTGTCGGCTCTGCATTTACCGACGAAAACATGAACAAACCGAGCCTGTTGGCAAAGGGAGGGAAGATCAAGTCAGTAGCGTACATGTATCTCTGAAATAAGATTTACGATCATCCATTTAATAAAGATTTGCATTGTATCTCCATATACTTTGATAAATGACTATCAATTTGAATAATCTACATGTAGATAAGCAGGTAAAATAACTGGTTGTTTCTACTAAATCTTTCTGTTACTTGGGACAAAGCTGAAACTTTTTTAAAAAATCAAAATTTTAAGATTGAACTAAAAAATTGTATTTTTGTATTTAAATTTTTCCTACATGTTATTGGGGGGGTTGGGATGGCCTAGTGGTCTAGAGTGCCGCGCTTCGACCTCTGGCTGGCGGCTGTGGTTTCGAGCCCTGGTGTGAGCGTATGTGGCATGGAAATAGGGGCGCCTTCTCAACCTCGTGGGTTTCCTTCGGGCACTCCGGTTTCCTCCCACTGCTAAAGACCTCTACGCGCAAGCGAATTATTGAAATAAAATTAAAAACCATATGTTAGTCCCGAAATGACCTAGTTGTGTCGAGTGGACGTTAAACCCCATTTCTCTCTCTCTCCTACATGTTATTTATATCCCTCCTAAATATAAAACATATTTTATTGCTTTAAAGCACAGGGTTTGTGCTTGAAAACAATAACAGAACACTAGAAACCACCGCTTGCTTTCCATGTAAATTTTGTGGGGGGTTTTAATCGTCAATGTCTAAATGCCACTCAAGGGTTATATAAAATGTTTTATTTATTTGCAGGTCTCATGCTATAGCTTGTGTAAATCAGTTTATTATTAGTCGTACTCAAGCCTTGATGATTCATATTGATACATTCATTGAGGTTAGTATATTATCTTATAGTATTTATTTATCCATCATGACTCAAGCTACACTGTGGGAGATCACGTGGGTAAGACACTGGCTCGCTAGCCTGGAGGGTCGGGTGTTCGATCCCTGCATTTGCCGAGAAAGTTCATCCAGATTTTCCAGCGTGGTTTCCTCCTTGTCAGTGATGCAGGACGGAGGGCCTGACAAGGACAGCTGTCTAATCGTTTTGATGGGACGAAAAACTGAGGTCCTGTGTACACATTGGCGTGCAGGTAAAAGATCCCTTGACAGTTGGAATTCGATATAAGAGTAGGCCGTAGCGCCCTGCCCGGGCAAAATTTGCCTCGTAGCACACTGTATGGCGTATGGCCAGTTTAGGAGCAAAACAGTAGGAAGTTAAACCTCATTTCATTTCAAGCTACACTGTACAATAAGTAGTGCCAATAAAAGATCCCTTTCAATTGGAGTTCATAGAATAGAATTTACAAAGCATTCTCAGACTTTGGTTAAGTTTTTACTCAACTTTCAGTCACTTTTTATGAGAAATATCTTTGATCCAGAAATACAAAATGACTTGTTGATGTATTTGATACATTAAAACTACAAAAGTAGCAAGGCAGATGCAGAAAAATATTGTTTGTCTTCAATCTCTGATATTTTATATTTTAGAATCTGTTTTTCCTGGCTACTGACGAAGATACCGATGTTCGTAAAAATGTTTGTCGAGCTCTGGTTATGCTGGTTGAAGTTCGCATGGATAGGCTCATGCCACATATCAATAATATTATCGAGGTAATGAATATTGTTTACTTTCAGCAAACGTAGTGTGTAGTCATTGGTATAAATTGAAAAATCACGACCATACTGTGTTAAAATCCTTCAAATAAGCTGAAACGGCGATGTTTGGCCAAAATTGCTCCTCAAGAAACAAGAATTATTTGATGTTGAATTATCTGGGTTTTGGGTGGCCAAATGAATAAATGTGTGCACATTAGCTCATAAGGTCTGTCACTCAATGAAGTGCCGTGGTTTAGATTCCCCGCTTGTACGTGACATGAAGTAGGGTTGCCTGTTTTACCTTGTGGGTTTCCTCCCACTATACTCAAGTAAATTATTGAAATAGAATTGAACCACATATTAGTCCCGGAATGAGCTTGTTTGTGTCATTTGGAAGTTGTACACCATCTCTCTCCCTCCTTCCTCCCTCCCTCTCCCTCCTTCCCTCACTTTTAGCATTGTGCACAAGTTAATAGAACAAATAACCATATGTTAGTCCCAAAATGACCTTGTTTGTGTCAAGTGGGAGTTGTATACCATTTCTGCCTCCCTCCTCCCTTCCCTCCCCCTCTCTCCTTCCATCACTTTTAGCATTGTTCACAAGTTAATAAAACAGATAACCATACGTTGGTCTGTTGACAACATAACATTCTATTTTATGTTTCAATCAATATGTTAATATATAGATGTCACATCTGTTTAAACATGTCTATCTATAAATAGCCACTGGTAGTACTGTCAATATATCATATAGATAATTTGTCTAGTTAAAATCAACTTGCTTTTGTCAAAATATAGCACAGTTGGAGATAACATGCCATAAAAAATTTCATTTCGTTTGCAAGGAAAATATAGTCCTTGTTTTCTGTATTTGGTTGGGGTTTCTCCTTGATTTGAAAAACTCCCATTTAGGACAAGGTAAATAAGGAGAGTTTATAATAAAGACCGTGGTTCCTTTCATTGATAAGGCAAGAGGTACAAGATGTGGAGTCTATACAGCCGTGATTTGTGACAATTTGTCAATGATATAAAATAAAATGATTGATTTTCAGTTGTAAGGTGTGCAACAAAAAACTACTTGATAAAGATTCAGGCAATGTATACCTCTCAAACTTGATCAAGGACATTAAAAAAAAATAAGAAGAAAACAACAATGACTGTACTTGGATTTAAAAGGATTTAATATACTTTTTCAACCCCCTGATTAGTAAATTTAAATGATTTTTTTTTATGTCATTCAAGATGATGAGAGCTTTGATTTAGTCATTTGTTTTATAAATGATACACCTCCGGCTGACTGAATTGAATAACATAAAATATCTAAGTGATCATTGCAAAATTTCAACACTGGCATCCAAACAAGATTAATGACACAGTGGACAGAAAATGATAAACTAAATATTGGTTGAGATCTGTCTGAATTATTCATTTGGTTGCAAGTTTTGAAATCATGGGACTGTCCTTGGCATGAATGAATATTGTTACTATGAGAATTCAATTTGTCTCCCAAGTGAAAATATTTAATATTTTATTAAAAAACTGAAAGGGATTTAGGAAAAGACATAGGCTATATGACCTCTCTCTCGTATAATTAATATGAAGCCATAATTGAACAGAACTCTTATCGATCATTGGCAGAATCTTGGAATATTTTATAAGAGCGTCGCTCCCAGGAACAGATCCTGGTCCAAAAATAACAAAAACCAAATTATCAAGGATAGATATTTCCCAACTTCAATTCATAAGAAATATAGCGCTAGCTTGTAATGGATGTCGAATGATGCTTATATTGTCTGAAGTGAATGACGAAAGTTGATTTTCATTCATCATATTTTACGTACTGAGCTGAATTTTAAAGATACATTATGGGAGATTAGATAAAGAGTTAAAAACTAGATAATGTAAAGGTAATTTGTTGAAAATTTCAGTCAAATTGGTCCACTATGAACCGAGATCAGCTTTGTAAATTTCCGCCTAGCCTCGTTCATCATTACTAAAGTTAGCACGTTAAAAATGCATAGTCTCGATTATCCATTGTTTTGATTTAATTATCAATGAGCGTTTGCAGCATATAGGATTCTAATCCAGTTGATATCGAAGGCTAGCCTTGACATCGAGAGTTGATTATGGTCTGGATAAGTTAATTAATGTCTAATTAATAATTTAGATAAGATTTCAGGCCTAAAGAAAGACCTGCAGATAGGCAGATTTAGCTCTTGCATAATGCATGTTTAATTATTTCTGCATTTGCAAGCAAGGGATTCAAAATACATTGTACCTCAAATGGCCATCATTGGCTTTTTTATCGATCTAACAATGCAATAACTCAAAAGATTAATAACAAGTTTTCAATATTTCTGTCATTCAAGATGATGAAAGTTTTCTATTCATTTGTTGATAAATGACATCTTGGAGACCTACTGAATTAAATGACATTTTGGAGGAGAGAACTATTGAATTAGAACATACAAATACTTCCATCATTATTAAACTTTTATGAACTATCGGGAACTGGTCCCCAAGAACTACTGATCTTGTTCTTTTTCTTGAAGAGCGGCACTTTTTGAAAAAAAAAGCCTTAGTGTAAATGGGCATATAAAATGAGTAAAAGGCACCATTCTGCCCAGACCAGTTAACGCAACATCTTAGTAAACAATGCATACGCCATAGAGCCAATGATGGACGCCCCTTGATGTGACATCACCTGTAGAAGACATACAGTCTGTCATCTAATACAGATTGTAGTTCGATAGCTGATCATGTTTTAAATAATCGTTAAATTGATATTTTTGTCGTATTACAGTATATGTTACTAAGAACTCAAGATAACGATGATGGTGTAGCATTGGAGGCGTGTGAATTCTGGTTATCACTAGCAGAACAGGCCATTTGTAAAGAAGTTTTATCACCTCATATAGAAAGATTGATACCTATTCTGGTTAAAGGAATGAAGTATTCAGAGATAGATATTATTCTACTGAAGGTAAAACTAATGTTATTTGATTTTATAGTGTGGGGCTAAATAGATCCAATAAAAATTGGTATTGAAAGACACATGTCCTTGCCTTACTTAGCCATAGAATAGTAGTGATTTCTATTCCAGTCGATGAGGAGTAATTAGCTGTTCTGTCATTTAGTCAACATTCAAACACAACCCTTAACTTTGAAAAATCTGGGATTTTTGCAGCAGATGGTGGTTATGGAACAATACAAATTTGTCAATGAAAGGCAAATAATTTTACTGAAGCCAAACTTTAAAAAAAAAACCTGTGTTAAAGTCCAAATCGCCGACCCAGATACAATAAATTGGTTTTGGTGTGGTTTCCTGCAGACAATTTGGATATTTACAATAGTCTGAATATCAGCATTATTTAAAGATTAATTTATTTGTTCAGTAATATTGGGGGGGGGGGGGCAATTTTGTAACGAGAACCTTTCTAGAAACACCTGTTGAGTTTCCATGTATTCAACAGACAAACACGAAAGGAGATTAACTTCAGCGCTTTCCGTTCTTGGGTAGAAATTATGTCTGTTCAAGAAGTAGCTCTGGTACAATTACAACACCATGTTTACATTTTGATTAGTCTGTTTATTATTCACCGAATTGGAGAGCTTGGTTATATTAAAATCTTTCGTAGATCTAATGAGATAGGAACTTGGAATTTGACACTAGGTGGAAACTCTGCTGTCCTCATAAAAATAATTCTTTAAACCTTATTTTCATTTTATTTAGTTTCTTACATGTATTTATATTATTTAAACTAGGGTGATGTGGAAGAAGATGAAATGATACCAGATAAAGAATCGGACATAAAACCACGATTTCATAAATCTAAAACCCACAGTCAAAAACGTCAAGAGGATGCGGATGAGGTAAAAAAATTAGTTTTATTGGAATGTGCCCGAAAAGAACCTTCAGAGATTTCTAAACCGGCTACTCACTTTTTAAGTACTGTCGACAAGGCTTGCAAGCAAAGTGTGCCATATTTCTGTATATAGATGAGCACAGCTAGAATTAATTCATAAGTGACCAGAAATCCCTCTGCCTTGGCCAAAACTGTCCTGTTGTATTGTAGACTTAACTGAATATTATTTATAAAATGTCTAAATAAATAAGTGTTGTATTTTCTGAATTGATGGACGAACTGAGAAATGATGTAAAACATTCAGCATCCTAAAATATGTAGAATAAAAGATGATAAAAATCTTCCTACTGTCTGATCTCAGTTTTTTGGGGTCTTATCCAATTTTGGTTCTATTCTTGACAACTCAATACCCAAAATATTTCTAATTATAAGAAGCAAAAATAAGTCTAGCTACACCAATTTGAATTTTGGTTCTTCTGGAGAATCTAGTATAAATTCCACTTATTTCTTTCAGAAAACAAAAGGTACTTGGTAGCCCTTCAAAATGGATTTTGCTTACTGAAATATTAACTTCAGATTCAGGGCCCTTATTCACGAAAACTTAAACTAAGATACAATCGAAATTTTAAGAAATACTGCAATTCGATTGGCTGACCAGTAAAATCAATTTGCATATATCCAATGAAGTTGCAGTATTTCTTAATTTCGGTTGTAACTTAGTTTAAATTTTCGTGAATAAGGGCCCAGGTGGCTAGTGAACAATTTTTGGCTTAGCCATACAACTCCCAAGAACAGAAACAATATAGTCGACTATCAAAGAAAAATACATTAGAACATATTGTGAATACAGATAGTTAATTTCTTTTACAGGATGGCGAGTCCGAGGAAGGGTATGATGACGATGATAGTTTGTCAGATTGGAACCTTCGTAAGTTTGATTTTCAATTTTGAAAAAATAAGCTTGATTGGTTATGTCATTCAAGATGATGAGAGCTTTGATTTAGTCATTTGTTTTATAAATGATACACCTCCGGCTGACTGAATTGAATGACATAAAAACTTATGGCTCTGATTATTGGCCGAGTGAATGACGCGTACCTTCAAAGTGGTTTAATTCCTGTGTTTTCCCCTAGTTAATGGTGTAGGACGGGGGAGGGCCCCGACACAAAACCGTGTCTAGTCGTTCAGATGAAAAGAGTACCTGTGGTACTGTTAGATCTAAATATTAAGGCAACCAGCAGATTTTGTCACAGTCACAGTATGTAAACAGGGCTAGTGCTAAGCCTTACCCACAATCCTCAACAACATTCACGAGCCCTTACCCTGTTTACATCTTGTGAGCCTAATGAAATCTGCAAGTGGCCTTAATATTTAGATTCTGTGTACATGTTGGCATGCTAGTAAAAGAACCCTTAACACTTGGAATTGTATGAAGAGTTATCAGGAAGACCACAGGAAACGAATCTCCTGCATAACATACTGCAAGGCGTAAGCCCATCTTTGTTCTTGAAACAACTAATCGACATTCACATTTTTCTAAGACATCTTTTTTCACAGCTTAACAATGTTAAAAAGTACTCAAATTGGTTAAATATAACATTTAATTAAAAAAAATATATATATATATAAAAATTAAAAGGTGGCAGTGGCTATAATAAAAAAAATTCTTCCATTTGACGCAAAACAATAAATCGGAGATAAAGGACTAGTTTTCATTATTTTTGTCATGTCATTTAAGATGATGAAAGTTTTCTATTCATTTGTTGATAAATGACATCTTGGAGACCTACTGAATTAAATGACATCTTGGAGACCTACTGAATTAAATGACTTAATGATGCATTGAGGATCTTTTTAGTTGGTAGATTTCAATTGGAGACGGAATATCATTACATTCCCTTAATTGTCTGCTGTCTTTCAGTCAAAACAAGGGACTATTAATCTGGGGTTTGTTCATCTTGTTGTCGAATGTAGTTAGCTGTTCATTAGGTGTAAACTTTCCACATGCTTTGGCTATTTATGGCCTAATAGTAGAACATAGTCTGGATTATGCATGGGGTCAGTCTACCCTGTAATCATTTGGGAACTGGTCATAAGCTGGGTTGAGTTCAACTTTTAACTGCCTCTTTAGCGTCAGTTGTGTTGATCTAATGTTATTTCTTAAGAAATGTTAAATGACGGGTCACATTATTACAAATGTTTTTAAATTTTGACTTAGTTAATTAACAGTGGAAAACAAAATCTGTTAATCTCAACACTGGTTTTATCTACATTATAGATGACAGATTAAACTATAACGCCTACTTATGGAAGAACAATGACAGATTGTTATCCCACAAAACAAACCAAGATAAAATCGACAGATTTATTTTTAACCCAAAAAAAGTGATCTAGCTATGTTAGTCCTGAAATTAAACCCATTTCTTTCATGTCATTTAAAATGATGAAAGTTTTATTCATTTGTTGCTAAATGACATCTTGGAGACCTACTGAATTAAATGACATGAAAGAATAAAATGAAACAAACTTTTGCAAAAAGAAAATAAGATTATGAATTTTAACAAAACAAACTTGTAATTATTTCAGGTAAATGTTCTGCAGCAGCTTTAGATGTATTAGCCAATGTTTTTCATGAAGGCGTTCTGCCGATTCTTCTTCCTATTCTAAAAGAAACATTGTTTCACGAGGAATGGGAAATCAAAGAATCTGGCATACTGGTTCTCGGAGCCATTGCAGAGGGCTGTATGGCGGGAATGATGCCCCACCTGCCAGAACTCATCCCTTACCTGATTGGCTGTTTGTCTGATAAGAAGGCCTTGGTTCGTTCAATCACATGCTGGACATTGAGTCGATATGCACATTGGGTTGTTGGTCAGCCACATGAACAGTATCTTAAACCTTTGATGACTGAGGTAAGCGGGTTATTTTTTTTTTTAGTCTCAATACTCTGATCTAATTCATGCACTTTAGATCATAAGGTTAAGGTCCGTCTTTGAGTCAAGTTGCATGTTTCTTTCCTGGTATTAGCTAAGAAAGTTCCTCCAGGATTTTGGTGGTCAGTGGTGTTAACAAACTACTTAACTTGAATTTAACAGGATGGTTTAGCTGGTCGCGTAATTGTTACATGTAATTTCCTATCGGAATTCATGAATATTCTTTACGAGAAATGTCTCTCTAGAATGCCAAAAATAAGGTAATCCTTCAAAACCAATGAGACTTTTGAACTCCAATTGTAATTATGTCATTCAAGATGATGAGAGCTTTGATTTAGTCATTTGTTTTATAAATGATACACCTCCGGCTGACTGAATTGAAGGACATAAAGTCTTCTATTAAAAAAACAAATATCTGGAATTTTAGGTAAAAATAAGTCTGAATTGGGTTTTTTATTATTGTACAGACTGCATTTATATTAAGCTTCAATCAATCTGTGATAAACTATAGTGATTCATTTATTATCAAATATAGTTGAGCTGAACGGACATTTTACATTGGTAATATTTTTCTGTCGCCCCTCTGTTAGGTCGGGGGTTGGATGGCAGAGTCAACTGGTGTGGTTTCGGTTGTAGGTGACAAGGAATAGTGTTGCTTGTCCAACCTCGTGGGTTTTCTCTGGGTCCTGCTGTTTCCTCCCACTGCTAAAGACCCCTACCCTCAAGTGAATTATTGAAATGGGATTGAACCATGTGGTAGTCCCTTAATGACCTAGTTTGTGTCAAGTGGACGTTAAATCCCTTTTCTCTCTTGTTAGGTGCTTCTGCTGTTCAGTTTTTTAATTAAAAATGATGTAAAAGATAACGCTGTTAACTCGAGTTTATTTTCATAAAGGCCTGGTATTTACTATGTTCTCCATTAAAGCCTTTGGTCATCATTTGTTGAATTTTTTAATCCCTAGCAAACTACAATATTGTGAAAGTCCAATCTCTAAATGTCCAAAAATTGTTGTATCCTGTTCAGATATGTTATAATTCAGCATCCTTGTCGGAACAACATAATGTGATTTAAAAAAAAAAGAAAAAAAAAAGCAGTGACGCCTATAATCTTCACTAAAATCTTTTCATTAAACCATTTGAATCCAAGGCAAATTAATATTGTGATTTTGTTTTCTTAGTTAAACATTAGATTTATAAGCCATTTGAGTACATTAGATATTGTCCAAAAAAAGCAAATGACTAGCAACTTTTAAGCTCAGAAAATTGTTCAGTCTGGGTTGTGGGGTTTTTTTTTTTGATAATCATTCAAGATGATGAGAGCTTTGATTTTGTCATTTGTTTTATAAATGATACACCTCCGGCTGACTGAACTGAATGACATATCCTATAAACAGATTTCTGGAGTTCTAGATAAATTTAGATAAAAATAATCTGGAGCTCAGGTGGCTAAGTGAGTAAGATGAAGGCTCTTTAGTCTGGAGGTTGCGTGTTAGATCCCTTCATTGGCCGAGAATGTTCATTGTGATTTTCCGGCGTGGTTCCCCCTTATCAGTGATGCAGGATGGAGGGCCTGACGAGGACAGCCATCTAGTAATTCGGATGGGATGAAAAACAGGTACATTGGTGTGCATGTAAAAGATCCCTTGGCAGTTGGAATTCGATATAAGAGTAGGCCATAGTGCCACTGCATGGGCAAAATTTCCTTCATTGCACACTGCATGGCGTATGCCCGTCTTTATTAAGTCAATCTGAGCAGAACAGTAGGACGTTAAACCCCATTTCATTTCTCTTCCGTGATTCTGCTGTTCAGTTTTTGAATTAAAAATGATGTAAAAGATAACCCTGTTAACTCGAGTTAATTTGCATAAATCCCTGGTATTTACCATGTACTCCATTAAAGCCTTTGGTCATCATTTGTTGAATTTTTAATCCCTAGCAAACTACAATATTGTCCAATCTCTTATGTCCAAAAATTATTGTATCCTGTTCAGTATTTACAAAGATATGTGATAAAAACAAGGCAGTGTCGCCTATAACCTTCACTAAAATCTTTTGATGTGCCTCTTAATTAATCCAATTGAATCCAAGGCAGATTAATATTGTGATTTTGTCTTCTTAGTTAAATATTAGATTTATAAGCAATTTGAGTACATTAGATATTTCCAAAAAAAGCAAATGACCAGCAGCTTTTAAGCTTAGAAAATTGTTCAGTCCTGGTTTGTGTTTTTTTTTTTGATAATCATTCTAGATGATGAGAGCTTTGATTTAATCATTTGTTTTATAAATGATACACCTCCGGCTGACTGAATTGAATGAATAACTTAAAATTATTGATGTTTCTCGGTATGTCTTGCATTTAATGAGCTATTTTTAATATTTAATTCTTCTAAACCATTTCAGTTGTTGAAGAGAGTATTAGATGGCAACAAACGGGTTCAGGAGGCCGCATGTTCTGCATTCGCCACATTAGAAGAGGAGGCTTGTACGGAATTGGTTCCCTATCTTTCGTTTATTCTAGAAACATTGGTTTATGCTTTCAGTAAATACCAGGTATGTTGTATTTAATTATCACAACACATGGGATGGGCTCAAGTAGTCTTATCATGTAGGGCTTTGAGCTCTTTAACTGGCCAGTCACCTTGTGGTCGTGGTTTCGATCTCTAAGGGTAACTATGTGACTTGGAGATAAGGTGGCTTCTCAACCTTGCAGGTTTACTCTTAGGTACTCCGGTTTCCTCCAACAGAAAGTATCCCTGCACATGTGCGGATAAATTTGTCTGCGGTATCACCTTTGGTGAAAGCAGATGTTAAACCCCATGAACAACACAAATGGTTATAGTAATGTCATTCAAGATGATGAGAGCTTTGATTTAGTCATTTGTTTTATAAATGATACACCTCCGGCTGACTGAATTGAATGACATAAAAGCTTGTGGCTCTATGAATGATTATTGGCAGAGTGAATGTGGCATCCCTTCAAAGTGGTTCGATTCCTGTGTAAGCCGAGACAGTTCTTCAGGATTTTGCTGTGTTTTCCCCCTAGTTAATGGTGTAGGACGGGGTCTAGTCGTTCAGATGAAAAGAAAAGGGTGCAATTTAGATCACAAGGTCTGTCATTGAGTCAAGTGGTGTGGTTTCGATCCCTAACTTGAAAAGCAGTTGGGTCGCCTGTCCAACCTCGCAGGGTTGCTTTTGATCTGCCGGTTACTTCCCATAGCTCAACACCCTATGTAAAAGCGATTTATTGATATTAAGTTGAACCTTATGTTAGTCCAGAAATGACGTAGTTTGTGTTGAGTGGGTGTTAAACCATGTTTTCTGACACTTCTCTCTCTAATTCTTAACAAGGAGAAAAATGATGAGGAGTGGCATCATCTACCTTACTTCATGGGTTGTCTCCCACTTCCGAAAACATTATTGAAATATTCATATACCATATTAAGTATACTTAGAGTGTTTCTAACTGAGAAATGATGTAAAACTATCAGCATCCTAAAATATGTAGAATAAAAGATGATAAAAATCTTCCTACTGTCTGATCTCAGTTTAAAATTAAATTGATCAGAGCTTAAACCATTTCACAAACCGTCAAATGAATTCACGTTTAATATTTTTCAGCACAAGAACTTGTTAATTTTGTACGATGCTATTGGAACACTAGCCGACTCAGTCGGCCATCATTTGAACAAGGAGGTGAGTGTTCAAAATTTAGCTTGTTTGAATATTTGTGTTATGGTTTTCCAGACATCAAGCTTTAGATTTCCCCATGCGCTGCAAGTTCTGTGGTTGTCTTCCACAGTTAAAGAATGTAATGAAAACATGATTTTGTGCTAGTATCAAGTTCTATTTCTTTCAGTTACCCAACAAGATTGAAATTGAATATGAAATTTTATGACAAAACAAAAAGGAAACCGAGTTTTGACTTTGCACTAATTAAGCCGGCTGGATAATGTAATCTTTAGCCTAAGCGAACATTTACTACTGATCCGTTTGCTTTTATTGCACTAATTAAGCCGGCTGGATAATATAATCTTTATATCAGTGGTAGAACGGTGCATAGATAAAAATAGTAATAGTCGCAGCGTTTGAAGTTTTTATAACCAAAATATCTTCATTATCGCACTGTTGCTAACAAATATATTATCCTAAAAACTGGATCAAACTGTAGTACAAACTACAAAAGTAGCTGGATTGTTTTGACCGTCCTAGGGGGGGGGGGGGTGGATGGCCGAATGGTTAGCACGTGTGCGCTGTACCATAAAGTCTGTCATTGAGTCAACTGGCGTGGTTTCGAATCCCCGGTTGTACGTGGCAAGGAGTAGGGTCGCCTGTCCAACCTCGTGGGTTTTCTCCAGGTCCTCCGGTTTCCTCCCAGTGCTAAAGACCCCTACGCGCAAGCGAATTATTGAAATAAAATTAAACCATGTGTAAGTCCCGAAATAACCTAATTTGTGTCGAGTGGACGTTAAACCCCATTTCTCTCTCTCTTGACCGTCCTAAGACCTGTCTTCCACGTGAATCCACAAGTAACTGTTAAAACTTAATATCATAGCTATCTCTAGTGGCTCACTGAGTATTTCCAGCCAAGGTTATAGCAGAGAAAGTTTTCGTAGTTTTTTCTAGACTGGTTCTTGTTGATCAGGGGAGCAGGATGGAGGTCCAGCAAAGGGAAAAAACACCTAGTTTAGATGGGACAAAAAATAGGTCTGGTGGATTGACAGCATTTAATCTTTATGAAACAGTTGTTTGAAACTTGCATCATTCCTATATCTAGAACTGAACATGTAACTTTTCAGTCTTTTGATTCTGTGAAAGTGTTTTTCTAAATTAAATGTAGTTTGTAATCAACCCCAATTTATGTCCAGAATTGAGATATTGGATACTATTTGCTATACTAGTATTTGCTTGTTGACCACTTAAGAGATTGTTGATACCCAAAATTGCAGGATGTTTTACACTGTAATCATTCGTGTGGGGAATTTTTTTGTCAAATTTATTCATGATCTTGGCACCCAACACCCGAGTTGTTGCTATAAGTCAAGTATAAAACTTTGTTTCTATGATGATTTATACAATCCAACTCTGATTTTAATAATCTGAAAGAATCTACTAAATCTGAGAAATGTTTTAACCAAGACTCATTGTTTGGCGGGAGCTGCAGGGGCTCAATTGGACGCTGGTGAGCAGGTGGTGTTGGCTGAGAAAGCGTCGAGTCGTTTAGAATTGAACGAAAAATCTGACATTCTGTGTACCCACTGGTGTGCATGTCAGGGCTGCCGACAACCTGTATCGCAGCGCAATTTGCGATATATATTTTGTCCGTTGCTATCCACATTTCTCAACACTTTCAACGTGTATAAAATATCAAATAAATTTTATAAACAAAACGGAATTCTCCGTGTGACATTTTCTTCTCGAACTACCCAGACTCAATTCATGATACTATATGATACAGGGACATAACTCTATGAATCAGGACTATTAAACCGGAAATAGGGAATCAAGTAGTACCACTCACGTTGCGAGACATGTCAATTTCGAGTAATTATATCAGTATTCAATTTGAAAAAAACCAAATTCAGTGTATCCCCCACGTATTATAAATAAAATATAAAAAATAAATACGTGTAAACGTATTGTAAAGTGAGAAATCAAAGTAAGAATTCCCGTAAACTATTATTGTTTATATCGCGGGTGTCTAGTTAATCGAGATTATTCGTAAAATACCGTGTGCTTCCGATTGAACAAAAATAATAACACAAGATAAAAAGCAGACGAAATTGTTTTCTAACGAAGAAATAAGAAGCCACTGCCAAGAATTGGCTTCAGACATAAGGCCTAACAAAAGTCTACATTCATTCAGAAATGTTCACAGCTAGCTGTAGAAGTGCTAAAATTCTAAAAAAATCTTAAGAATGAAATCTAATCATTTGCTATCAATTAAAATTAAAATAATCTTGTTATTTAGGTGTTTTATGTTGATTTGAAACTGAAAAACTGCTAATCAATTTTTAAATTTGCTAATCAAATTTGGCAAAATTGGACTTTTTGATTAGCAGTGCTGCTAATCATCTTTGAAAAATTACCGACAGCCCTGGTGCATGTAAAAGAACCCTTGACAGTTGGAATTTGAAGTAGGCTGTTAAAGATTTCCCTCATAGAACACTGTATGGCCTATGTCTGTTTTCATTAACCTGGTCAGTGCGGAAAACAAGGACTTTAAACTCTGTTTCATTTTATCGTTTTGTCATATTTGCCTGTATTGACCAACTTAAAGTGAAATTGACCACAAAGAATTTAACACTAACCCTTTAGCACTTGACACATGTGAATAACTCAGACACATGTAAAAACGCTTAGATAAATTAAAATAAAAAAAGAAATGGGTTAATACCAATCATTTTCCATCTGGCAAATCTAACACTGTAACCCCATTTATCATTTAATCTTGTGTATTTAGCATTAATTTCTTTAACATTAAGTCAATATCAAAACTTTGAAAATTCTTCATAATCACCAAAAATCTTCTAATTTGTATTTGTGCCCAATTTATAGCTGACCATTTAACGAGTGGTAATCAACTCAACCCAATGTCATCCCTATTGGGAATAAAGAGAATATTTACTACTCAATCTTGATAACGAGTGGTAATTAACTCAACCAGGGCTGGCCACGAATAAATTGATGGCGAGCAGATGACTGCTCACGCAAATTTAGGTTTGGGCGAGCAAGGCGAGCAATAAAAATTGCTCACGCAAAATGTTGTTTGCGTGAGCACACATTTTCTAACATTGTTTCAATTTAAAATCATAAGAAAATTGCTATTCCTGGCACAAAGTTTGCAGTAAACATGTGTGACCATCGCTTTCTGTTTTTGACAGTCATACGTACTCTTCTTTATTAAAACCAATTTCCGTATGGATTTCTTCACCCCACGAAATAAATGTGGATAGGGCAATCAGGTTGCCTTTGGCCATTATTACGCTTAGATTGAAAATTATACGACTGCACAATGGAATAAAAACCGAAGTTCTGATAAAATAGGAAATACCGATAAATATTAGTTTGAAACGTGTTCATTTAGCGTGAATGCCTAATGCCGGATGTAAATATTCTTTACTTTAGACTCGATTATCACGCGTTCGTTACTGGTGTTCGTAGGAAAACCAGTCATAACGTTCAGGTCTAAAGTGTATTTTTAGTAACAAGAGTGCTGAGTAACTTTTTAGTCAATCAAATTTAAGGAGGAAATGCCGCGTGCAGCTGGGTGAATCTCAGTTTGACAGACGAATTTATGAAGTTATTGACATTGTTGGTTTAGTTTCGGCAATAAACTTGTCAATATTTTGATTATTTTTACAGGGTTTTCTTAAAATTTTGCGCGAGCAACAAACCGCTCGCGTAAATGTAGATTTGCGCGAGCAACTGCTCGCGTCTCGTGGCAAGCCCTGTCAACCCAATGTCATCCATATCGGTAATATTGGGAGTAAAGGGAATATTTACTACTGATCAGTTTGCTTTTATTGCACTAATTAAGCCGGCTGGATAATGTGATCTTTATATCAGTGGTAGAACGGTGCATAGATAAAAATAGTAATAGTCGCAGCGTTTGAAGTTTTTATAACCAAAATATCTTCATTATCGCACTGTTGCTAACAAACTGAAATTGTGTATCACTTATTACAGCCAGAAACTAATGCTCCTTAGACTGCACCAGTCACATAAATAGCTGTGGTGCGTCCAAGAACTGTGAGTTAGATGCTGGCTTGCTAGCCTGAAGGTCGCGGTTCGATCCTTGTGTTGGTCGAGAAAGTTCATCGGGATTTCCCCTTGTCATTGGTGTAGGACAGAGGGCCTGACAAGGACATGCTGTCTTGTCGTTCGGATGGTACGAAAAACCAAGGCCCTGTGTGCACATTGTCGTGCTTGTAAAAGATTCTTACTCAGTTGGAATTTGATATAAGAGTAGGCTATAGCGTCGCTGTTAAACCCCATCACTTGCATCCAAGAACTATTATATGGTCATGCAACCCGGACAGCTATTAACGTTTCTAGGGTGATTTAGGGAACAGTGGTTTCAGGCCGTCGAGGGATATATCGGTACGATTCCTGTCAATGCACAAACTTCAGATGTTAAACTCCATTTCATTTCTAACATCAAAATATATTTTCAGGAATATGTTAAAATGTTGATGCCACCGTTAATCAATAAATGGAATATGTTGAAAGATGAAGATAAAGATCTTTTTCCACTACTTGAGGTAAGAAAAACATAATGGCTTTTACAAACCTGGAGGTCCGGGATTTCATATAGATATTACTCCAGGTTTCCCCTTGTCTAGTCCTTCAGATTGGATAAAAAAAAAAAAAACAGGTCCTATGTACATTATAAAGATCCCTTTACATTTGGTATTCAAATTATGAGTAGGCCTGGCACATCTGTCAGCAAAAATTTACTATATCACACAGCATGGGTTATGCCCATCTTCATTAGACCAGATGGAAGAGAAAAGTATGCATACATTGGTGTTCACATTGGACTTTGATATCTAGTTCGGAAACACCACTGTCCAAGCAAATGTTCCCCGTAATAGTTAAACACATTTAATTTCTTATTTCAGTGTCTTTCAAGTGTCGCTACAGCTCTACAATCTGGTTTCTTACCCTACTGTGAACCTGTCTACAGACGATGTGTGTCTCTCGTAGAACAAACTCTCAATCAAAACTATGTAAGTATACAATTAAACTATCAGTCAACATCTATAGAACTAGAGTGTACTAGTGCATACATTATGGAATGGTTTCAATTCTTTACTTGTATGTGACGAGGAGTGTCTACCTAAATTCATGGGTTGTCTCCAACTTCTGGACATTCCTGTTCTAGACATTACTGCTTGCGAACATGTTATTGAAATATTCACATACCTTTATCAACGGGACTTATCAACTGTTTTATATAAAACTAAAAAATGAATGTAAATTTTTCTCAGCAAAAATAGTTTTAGACTCACTGATTGTAGACTTTAATATTATTAGGAAACTGGCCGCTTCCAATTAGTAACTTGTTGATTAGGTAACTGGCCGCTTCCACCCATTCCTATTTCTAACTGAGAAATGATGTAAAACTTTCAGCATCCTAAAATATGTAGAATAAAAGATGATAAAAAATCTTCCTACTGTCTGATCTCAGTTTATGAAATAATCTTTATTATATGCTTCTTTTTTTTCTTTTCTTTTTTTTCTTTTCTTTTTTTTTAAATACTTGTCAAAATGTTCTGTTAAAAATTTATCTATATGATCTGTAAAACAAAAATTACAATAATACTTGTCTATTTGATCTGTAAAATTGGCTGAGTGGGTAAATTGTCTGTATTGTTCTAGGTGTTACGTCCAAGTTTTCTATGAAAAAAAAAAATCCATCACACTTTTAAAGGACAATGTTGGCGTCCACCAATATATTACATATGTGATAGAACTAGTTAAACACGTTCCAAATATACTTTTAACAGAGATCTTTGTTACGGTTGATCCGTGACAAAGATTTGAAGATTCGTGAAGTGCCGCTAACAGTTAATGTTACTGGCTGAACTGGAGAGCGATAACTGGTACATATGTAATGTTGGTTGACACCAACATTGTCCTTTAAAAATTATATTGATTTAAATATATTCCAGGCTAATCTACAACAACCGGAACAGTATGATCCACCAGATAAGGATTTCATGATTGTTGCCCTTGATTTATTGAGTGGACTAGCGGAAGGTTTAGAGGGAAATATTGAAGCTCTTGTTGCTAATAGCGCCATTTTGAAACTTCTCTTCCAGTGTATGCAGGTATGTGTAGAATACGTTTTGAACAATCCAAAACGGACAGATCAAATTTTTTTCCACTTAAATCGAAGTATACCTCCTTTGTTTTACTCAAAATGTCACAATATATCCATAACTCATCCTTAATTTCACTTAATGCTCATCTAAATCTTTTGCTCTTAAATGTTGAGGCCAGGCCCCGCCCCGAGTTCACAAAGCATTCTGAGACTTAAGTTAAGATTTTGCTCAACTTTAAATCACTTGTACCTCTATTTTGCACTAATTAAGCCGGCTGGATAATGTAATCTTTATATCAGTGGTAGAACGGTGCATAGATAAAAATAGTATTAGTCGCAGCGTTTGAAGTTTTTATAACCAAAATATCTTCATTATCGCACTGTTGCTAACAAAATGAAATCACTATCACTTGGGTTCGCCAGGAACTAATGCTTCTTAGACTGCCCCCAACAACACAGAGCAGTTCATGTGGATGTCATGGTGCCAAAGGAAGGCGCTGGCTTGCTAGCCTGAAGTTTGCAGGTTCAGTCCTATTGTCAGCTGACCAAGTTCAACAGGATTTTTCTGTTGTGGTTTCCCCTTGTCATTGGTGCAGAACTGAGGGCCTGACAAGGACGGCCGTCTAGTCGTTAATTGGGACGAAAAACCGAGGTCCTGTGTTTGGAATTCTATATAGAATTTAATATGATTTTGTGATTTTCTTTTCAAGGATATGATGCCTGAAGTTCGACAGAGTTCATTTGCACTGTTAGGAGATTTAACCAAAGCTTGTTTTCAACATGTCAAAGCTTGTATAGGTTAGTATTTAGACTAAACAATTTTGGTTAAAAAAATTAATCCAAGTAATTCCTGTTGAAAATCATGTTTCCAGTGTTAATTGACCACACTATATATATATATATATTCATAGGCCGTTACAATACATGTTATCACTTTGGATGTTCAGAAAACTACTGTACACTTTACCATGACAACTAGCTCATTACTATTCATATATATATTAACTCATTACTATTCATATATACAAAGTTCATGAATATTCATGTTAACCAGCACCGGCATCCACAAACACTTGCATTAAACATACATTATGCAAGAGGTAAATCTGCCCATTGCAGGTCTTTCTTTAGGCTCGAAATGTTATCTAAATTATTAATTAGACATTAATTAACTTATCCAGACCATAGTCAACTCTAGATGTCAATGCTAGTTTGCGATATTTATTGGATCATGATCCGATTTGCTGCTCAACTTTCATTCATGATTTAATCATGAAATGGACAATCGAGACATGTTTTTAATTGTACAGACTTTAGTAATGATGATTGAGGCTAGGCCAAAATTTAAAACGCTTAATTCTCGGTTCATAGTGGATCAATTTGAGTGAAATTTTCAGCAAATTGCCTTTACATTATCTAGTTTTAATGAGAACTGCCAGCTCTTTATCTAATCTTCCATAATGTATCTTTAATGAAATATGCAAGTAATGCTACTTTTCCTTTTCTTTTTCAGGTGACTTTATGCCAATTTTGGGTGCAAATTTAAATCCTGAATTTATTTCTGTATGTAATAATGCCACTTGGGCAATTGGTGAAATATCTCTTAAAATGGGTAAATATTCAATCCAATTTTGTTTTATGTAAAGCTAAAAATGAATGTAATTTTTTCTCGGTACAAATAGTTTTAGACTCGCCGATTTTAAACTTTAATATTATTAGGAAACTGGCCACTTCTAATTAGTAACTTGTTGATTAGGTAACTGGCCGCTTCCACCCATTCCTATTTCTAACTGAGAAATGATGTAAAACTATCAGCATCCTAAAATATGTAGAATAAAAGATGATAAAAATCTTCCTACTGTCTGATCTCAGTTCATGAAATGAAAGCCAAAAGAAAAATTAGTCACGGTAACACCAATTTTAGAATCTGTCATATATTCTCCCACCGACTGTCTCTAACTTGGACATGTAACGATAGCGGCCGCCATTCGGGTAAACTCAAACATTTTGGTTTTGATAAATAAATATCCCGTTGAGTACCGTGAACAATATTGCTCATTCATACCTAGTTATATGATTAACATTGTTCATCTTCCAAAACTGAAGAACATTTTTAGACATCCTCTTTATATTTGCAAAACATGAAAATTTTAGATATCCTCTTTGTTTTTAAAACATGAAATTTTTAGATATCTTTATAATTTCAAAACATAAAAATTTTAGAGATCCTCTTTATAATTTCAAAACATAAAAATTTTAGAGATCCTCTTTATAATTTCAAAACATAAAAATTTTAGAGATTCTCTTTATAATTTCAAAACTTGAAATTTTTAAATGTCTTTTTTATATTTTCAAAACATGAGAATTTAATCCTTTGAGAAGAGGAACCAAGTTTTAGGGGTATTTAGAATTATTTCTTTAAACACCCCACCACCATCCCTAAAGACAAAATTCAAATTGGTGTTTTCTAAGCTGAATTTGTGGTCAAGGGTCCTATTAACACAAGATTTTAGGACTAAAGCAGTACTATATAAAGTGACTTTTGTTATTGTAGGAGCCGAAATGGAACCTTATGTTAAGTTGGTCATAACGCCATTAATCGATATAATAAACCGACCCAACACTCCTAAAACATTACTAGAAAATACAGGTAAGAGTTGTTTCCCTTAGACTTACTCCCAATTGATTTTTTTTTTTGTCTAATATCTTTGACACTAACAATAATTAACTATTGGGAAGTCATGGGTGATCGAGTATGTGCTTTTGATCATAAGAGTCGGTGGGCAGCCTCAGTTGCTCGTGGGTAAGATGTTGACTTGCTAACCTTATCATTGGTGCACAAGACGGAGGGCTTGGCAAGGGACAATGTGTATAGTTGTTCAAATGGAACAAACAAAAAAAAAACCAAACTAGGTCCTGTGTACACATTGGCGTGTATATAAAAGAATCCTTGGCAGTTTGAATTCAGTATAAGGTTGTGCCCGCTGTACAGGCAAAATTTTCTTCATAGCACACATAATGCCCTTCCTGATAGCCCAGTCGGAGCAGGGCATGAAACATTTCAAGTCAGTGGTGTTTCATTCCCATGCATTTACATGACCAGTAGTATTGTCTCCTGTCAATTCTAAAGGGTTTCCTCTGGATTTCTTTTAGTTTTTTCCAACTGCTAGATATCCATATACCAAGAGCCAATTATTGAAATAACCATGTACCATATGTTAGTCCCGAAATAACCTAGTTTGTATGGAAACCAATTTCTCTGTCGATATTATTAACTTATTATTTGAGACGCAAGTGACCGTTTTTTGTCAAATCGTTTAGAATTAATACTTTCAGAGTACAAATCTGCTGATGTAATTTTTAGTTCTTTGGATTTATGATGACCAAATTGCCACTGGAGACTCGCAATTTGAGTATGTGTCAGGGGTATATTCCCTCCGGAGACTCATAATTTTGAGTATGGGTCCAGGGTATATTCCCTCTGTAGACTCGTAATTTTGTGTATGGGTCTGGGTATATATCCCCAGACTCGTAATTTTGAGTATGGGTCGGAGTTATATTTTCTCCACCCACCCATTGTTACTTTTTAAATTGAACATTTTACTACTTAACTATATTGAACTTGCATATCTTAACCATACACATGTTTGAATCTTCTCCCTGTCTTGTTTTCATTTACTTTTCATTGACCAATTTTACTTTTTCTGTGCTCTGAAATCACCACTTTTGTCGGGGGCACTAATATGTCTCTGTGACTCCACAAGAAATTTTACTAATTTTTGTATGTGTTTAATATAAAATATTATGTATGTTGATATTATAGTTTTTATATATATATATATATATTTGTTTTGAAAGCTTATTCAACATTTCACAATTATAATGGTCTTATTTTCATTGGTTGCACATTTTGTTAAATAGAGCATGTCATTTATCAACGGTTCATTTGCATCCAAGAGATTCCATGTTGTTGATTTTCAGGCTGTTTGTGGAGGTCATTTTAGGAACTCTTTGAGTTTGGGAATTTCCTAACTTCTGACGAATATGAAAAAAACAAACTATGTTGTCAAACTTGGTGTTTATTTTCAGGCCGGTTTGGTAGGTCATTTCCATACGGAAATCTTATCTATCAATGCGTGAACTCTTTAAGTAGGAATTTCCTTCCTCTCCCATAGTCTAAAAATACTCTCCATGTTGTAAAACCTATTGTCTTATTTTCAGGCCGATTGTGATTATCATTTCCATGTGGGAGTTGGAAAGTCCCATATGCCTAGGTTATACATCACAAGGGAAAAGGAGTAGGGAAACATAGCCGTTACCCCAAATTATCAATTTGCAAATGGCTTCCCCAATCAGACTGAGAATGGACAACACCTGTTTGTGGTTTACCAAATTTGACTGAAAGGCCTTTATAGAATTTTTCAACTTCTCTAGGTAGTGTCGCAGGGAAATAAACTGGTCACCTGTATTTATTTAGCCTTAAAGCAGTTAGCTCCTGTACGAGTTACAAATACTGCTGGGCTCTAATCAATGTTGCGGAATACGACCCTTATTTTTGTACCTTGTTGAATAAGGTTTCACATTTTATATAGAAAAGCTGATTATGTATTAAATATTGATGTTGTCTTGTGATGTCATGTGTGTTGTCTCCCCCTCCCCACATCTCCCATTCCCATCTCTTTTAATCGTTTCTTTCTTTACTTTTAATATGGTATTTTTTATATATTTTCGTTTCGTTTTCAGCTTTTTCTATTTTTGATTATATGACGTCAACTTTGTCAGTGGCAAATGATTGGATTTTATGGAATGCTTACCTAACTTCGGAATGAATTTATTCAAATTTATCATTTCATTTACATACAAAATAACCAATTTTTCTCCGCTCTTTTTCACTAACTTGTAAATTTGTGCAAAGATTTTTAATCATGAAGCATAGTGACAATGTTGACCAATCACTGAGGTTATATGATATATTTTTATTTCAATGTTTGTTATGTAAATGTTGATTGGTTTGTCTTTCTTATTTCTTCCCTTTGAAAACGCTCCATCCTCATGTTGTCATGACAACGGGTGATTAGCCATTACAATTGGTCGAATTGGTTTAGTGTGTGCACAGGAAGTGGCTCCCTTACTTCAACAGTTCATAAGACAATGGTCGGTACTACTTTTATTTTATTTGTTTTATTTTCTCTACTTTTATTTTAGTTCTCATAATTACACTCGAAGGGTTGATCTAATGCTTCTTTAAAAACAATGAAAAATTGTCTGTTAGGGTTAAATATTTGGTCCATTGAGAAGTCATATAACTTGCCTGCTCTGCTAAATTAAAAGAACCGAAACTGTTTCTAAATTTAATCATTAAGTGTTAGATCAGCCAAAACATTTAATTGGGAAATTTTATTTTAATTAGAACCAGAGAATCTTTTAAATAATTTGATTAATTTTTTCTCTATTTTTGATTAAGTTATTTTTAAATGACAACGCTTATAACACAACTTGCACACAAGCTTTTAGACAAGTAGATTTAATTTATGCGAATGACCTTGAGATTTTATGCGAATGACGAGGGTCAAGGGTTGAATACTACATGTATGTTCTTTGTTGATGTACGTGAAAATGTATATATGTCATGTCTGTTGGATTACTTTGAGCTTTTTTTTGCGGATATTAGTTTTGACATGAATGTTAAAAATGAATATTGTATTTCGTATGGAATAAATTAGACATTACTATATATAGTTGTATATTTGGAACCGGATATAAATTTTGAAGGGATTGAGATTATCTGTGGTCCAGTCTGAACTGTTTTAGGTAAAGAGGTAAATTATTTCGCTAATGGTAATGTCTTTATGCTTCCTACTGCGGAGGAAATGGGCTTCCTCTAACTGCTGAAGACTCCTATGTCCAGTCTGAACTGTTTTAGGTAGAGAGGTAGATTATTTCGCTAATGGTAATGTCTTTATGCATTCTACTGCGGAGGAAATGGGCTTCCTCCAACTGCTGAAGACTCCTACGTGCAAGCAAATTATATACCAGGAGGGGTTAATCCTGATGTTACTTGCCATGAAACTTGAGATTTTTCAGCTGTGTTTCACCTTTGCCATCTTCATTAGCCCAGGTTAGGAGCAGAACAGTAGGACGTTAAACTCCATTTCATTTCATTGTTTCACCTTGTCAGTAAGGCAGTACACAATGTCTGACATGGATAAGCAGAATTGAGATGGTATGAAAAACTGATTTTCCCTGTATACAATTGGCAGCATGTTCAAGATCCTCTGACAGTTGGAAATCAAAATATGACATTTTCATCAAAGAATCTTGGCCTGGTTGATGCAGAAATAAGAAAAAAAGCCCCAAAACATGCCTTGGGATTTAAGAGGTTTTGTTCACATGGAAATCAAGTTTAGATTTTTAGCACCAATTCTCTAAGTGCAAAAAATGTCATTTTGTCTTATTTGAAACGATGCAGTTGCTAGATATGGTTGAGAATGAACTTGATAGTTGAAGCCAAGATGCAATTATGTGTTATGTGTTCCTTATAAATCCAGCACCTACTTGGAAGGACACCTTTTACTTGGAACATCCTGACGCAGACACTTGGACATATGTAGATATTTGTCAGTATTGGGAGACTATACACTTCATGCATTTGAATTTCCGTCAATAGCCCTGACAAGGAGTAGGGTTGCCTGTCCAAACTCGTGGGTTTTCTCCAGTTCCCCTGGTTTCCTCCCACTGCTAATGACTCCTACGCACAAGGGAATTATTGAAATAAAATAATTGAACCATGTGTTAGTCCCAAAATGACCTAGTTTGTGAGGTGTGGACATAAACCCTCCTTCTCCCCCTCTCTCTCTCTCTCTCTCTCTCTCTCTCAATAGCCCTGTTAGTGCTGAAAAATACGGCTTTAAATCCCAGTTCATGTATTTGAATTACAGTTCAGAACGATAAACCACATATAATCTCAATGTCTTTTACTGTTAATGATTTTATTATTTTGTTGGGATTTGTCTCATTTTAAAAACAAAAACATGTCCTTAATTTAACAGGTGTACTTCATTGAGAAATATACGAGATAATGAGGAAAAAGATTCTGCTTTTCGTGGCGTCTGTCTCATGATCAGTGCTAATCCCGGCGGTGTCGTACAGGATTTCATCTTTTTCTGTGATGCCGTCGCTTCATGGGTTCACCCTAAACAAGACCTAAAAGAAATGTTTTACAAGGTATGAATGGGGTTATTTATTGTTCACTCCCACAAGGTGGTGCCACTCTTAAAGATGCATTATGTACGATTTAGATAAAGAGTCATTAATTCATCCTATAGTTCAAGAATAGATTTAAAATTTGATTAAAATTACTTATTCTGGGCCAAGTTACGAGTGCTTGAAGATGTATTCTCATTGTTCATTATCGTAGCCATGGTTATTGACAATCGAGACTCGAGTGGTTATCCATTGAAATCTTGGCCATGTGTCCACATTGTTCATTATCGTAGCAATGGTAATTGACAACCGAGACTGGAGTTGTTATCCATTTAAATCTCAGCCATGTATCCACATTGTTCGTTATCGTAGCAATGGTACTTGACAATTGAGACTAAGTTGTTATCCATTTAAATTTCGGCCATCATATGGTCCAGAGAGTTATATTTAACTCTTACATAATACATCTTTAATGATTTTAAACAGATTTTTGACTATTTTTAAATTGTGATGAATTTTGACTATTGTTGCAAACAAAAACCAACTCGAGTTGCTTAATCAAGAAGGGTTTTGTGTCTAGATTACTCACTATTTAGCTCTTTCTTTTTCTGAGAAATGATGTAAAAATTTCAGCATCCTAAAATATGTAGAATAAAAGATGATAAAAATCTTCCTACTGTCTGATCTCAGTTCTTGAAACGAAAACCCCACCCCCTTAACAAAAAGAACCTCCAATACTACTGGGGGGGGATGGCTGAATGGTTAGAGTGGGCGCGCTGTATCATAAAGTCTGTCATTGAGTCGACTGGTGTGGTTTCGAATCCCCAGTTGTACGTGACAAGGAGGAGGGTCGCCTTTCCAGCCTCGAGGGTTTTCTCCGGTTTCCTCTGACTGCTAAAGACCCCTACGCGCAAGCGAATTATTGAAATAAGATTAAACCATATGTTAGTCCTGAAATGACCTAGTTTGTGTCGAGTGGACGTTAAACCCCATTTCTCTCTCTCTCTCTCTCCAATACTACTTACTAGGAAGTTTTAAGTAGTATTCAATGTTTGTGTTATATATTTTCAGATTCTCCATGGTTTCAAGAATCAAGTTGGAGATGAAAATTGGGAGAAGTTCTCAGATCAATTTCCTCAACCACTTCGTGAGCGTCTAGCTGTCAACTATGGGGTCTGATTCGTCTACATCCATAGTAAGTTCTCTTCTGAAATAACCTGTAAGAAGATTGTAGACGGATAGGTCGTGGTTTGTTTTGCATCATTTTCAGGCAGACCATTGTAATGCTAATTGTAGGCCGGTTGGGAAGCTATACACCTTGCCACATAGGGAATCGACTTTCCTCTCTCACTTTTACGATTTGTTTCTCCAGTTTTTAATTGATCTGTAAATGATGTTTCATAGTAAAAACCAACCAGATGATGGTTTCTGGAATGAAGTTGCAACCAACAATAGGTTGGCAACCACTTTTTTTAAGGCTTCAGTTTTGTTGACATACTTAGAAGGTTTAGAGTCTTAGATTCAAACATGAAGAAAACAAAAATGTCTTCTATAATAGATACATGTACTTATTCATGTTTTCTGTTTCTTTTTCAGAATTGGGGCAAAAAAAAAATTCGGGATGGTGCTCTTATCGCGCGTTGAGCATCTTCGGGGCCGCGTAGGGGTTGGCGAGGGAGGGCCGACTCAGAGGGGGGTCCTAGCAGCACTCGGTCACCACCAGCAACACAAAGTGACCAGCTGTTACAAGCACGGGTAATCTTCGGGTGGGTCGCGAATGGGTAGGGTTCATCTCGCGTCGTCGCGTTTTATCGTAATCTGTGTTCGAAACAGTGTCTAGAAATCAACTTTGCATGTTAAATCTTGATCTTAAAGGATTTTAAGAAGTCCCATATTTTACAACCACTGAGTTCACACTGATTACACATACACCAGAAGGTAATATAATATCCATTCATCTCGTAAACATCAACGAACATGTTCACATGTCTGAATTCAGAATTTATGTTAGCTTTTACAATGAGTCTGTGATTTGTTTTGTAACTTTCGTCAATGGAATCATGATTGGAATCATGGAAATTTTAATTTCTCGACTCAGTGGTTGATATTTTTCCTAATGGAATTGATATTATGTTGAAGTATTGTTTTTCGCATGCTGCCTAGAATCATTTATAATACCATAGCCATTGTCGCTTGTCTTCATATTCTACAAGACGATTGGCAAAATGATGTAATCCTAGTGTTTGATTGGCCAATGTAGTCCTATTGTAATGTTATGATTGGTTAACTTCTCCACTTCTGAACTTTATGTACACAGCTAGCTTCTGATTGGCTAGAATTAGATGTTTATACATCAGAACAACCAATTGGTGAAGAGTTATCTTTTGCTATATGTATTAGCGCAAGGAAATTACATTTGATTAGTTGTGTAATTAACGACTGGATTGTTCAGTGCTATTTTTCATGTTTAGTCTTTGTTTTTTAGTCTTTTCGCATTATTAAACTTCTGTTTGCGAACTAAGAAACCAATATATAGTGCACATTTTAAGAAATTAATTTAATTTTGAATGTAAAGCAATTCATAGTATTTAATCTTATAATGATACTTTGAGAAGCTATTTTGTTCCGAATTGTTTTGTCTAGTAGACATTTGTAATCGTTAAGAAAAATAAAAATGGCATCTTTGTCAACTCCACCAACTACTTGACATTCTTGTGAAATAGGGTGTTAAAAAAAAAAAAATGATATCAAAAAGCTTATTCACAGAATTTAATGGAGTTTGTTTAGTTCACAAAAATGCTCAATTCATTGTGAATGAAGTTAAGGCCAATTGTAATTTTGTCTTGGATGTATTAAGTCCATGACTTTTATCCTATATCAAATAACATGCAATCATTGTATTAAGTTTTTGTTCACAAGAGCACAGATAATGAAGTTTGAGAGGAGTGATCATTCACCAGTTTGTTTCAAGAAATAACATCTAATTGTAAGAGTTGCCGTTTTATTTCTTAAGACTTATTACACCCAGCTAATTAATGGACTGGCTGTCCCCAGAATTGATACAAGGGAGATAACTGTACCAATTAGTAGTCTATATCATCAAGTCTTGATTTTGATGAGTAGATGAAACTATCCATTGTTTTCTAGACCCAAGTTAGATTTGTTTTGGATTTGGGACTTGTGAAAGGACGCATGATTCCGCTGCAGTACCGCGTCGCAATGTTTTACTTTTTTGTATCGTTCACTCGTGTTGCATAATAGCTCAGTTAACGTATTACAATGGTGCTTTTGTTTATTTACTTAATGCATATTATATTGATTCCGAGGAGTAGCATAACAGTTAGTAAATAAATGACTGCATAAGATTTCAATTAACATAGATTGAAAAACGGAAACAAGATTTTTCCAAAGATTTGTGTCTGATCGATCCACTTCTTCGGCAAATATGATTTTAAGTTTGGAGTCAGCAGCTAGTTTTTGGTTTTAAAGGAGAGGCAGTGAATCACTTAAGCATCGGCCAGTAGATTTACTTTATTTAAAGGATTTTCCACTAGAAGAACTGAAGAAGTGAGAGAGAAATTATGATTCATATTGATGTGTTCCATTTCACTCGTGACAAGTCCTGAGCAAATCTAACTCAACAGTAAAAGAAATTGTGATATTTTTTGTAGCAGGGATATAGCGTAAACCTTGGCCGTTCGGACGAAACAATTTCACTTTTTGTTTCAATATTGTTATAATATGCCTGAATTTTTTAAATTTATATTTTAATTATGAAATAAATGCTCGCGTTGTTGACTAATAAAAAATGTCTAATTAAATTATCGCGTTGTGTATATTAATTATGCAGATGTGCATATTTTGAGAGAAATGCTAGAATATCGCACATCGATATATGGCCGCGTTTTTTTCCATAAAGGAAATTTCCTTTATTAATTTTTCGCGATATGTGAATATTTATTTTGCGCGGTGTGATTTATTTTAGTATTATGTAAATTAGATATAAATGTGAAGTTATTTTTTGATAGATATTTTTTATTTTTTAAAGATTTTTAAAAGTTTTTTTGCTATTTTGTTTTTAAGGCCAAGGTTACGCTCAATGTCTCTGAATATTTATTTTTTTATTTATTTTTTTTTTCCCCAACTGCTCAAATGACATTGTCACCTTTTATTAAAAGGTGTAGATTTAATTCTTGGCCATCAAATAAAAATAAAAATTGACCCTTGGAAAATTCTTCCATTAAATTATCATTGATAAGATGCCCTGTTCTCTAAGATTTTAAATTTAATTATAACTTAAATTTTCATTTTGATGTCATTGTGATCTCGAGATTTTTGTTATGTATTGAAAGTTAATAAGACTTAGGATCGGAGTTAAAGGAAATGTTTATTTAAAATCATTACCTTTTTGCCACTGTAAGCTATAAATTCAAGCTCCAATCAATGAATTGTAAATTAAAATATCTATGGCTCCTTTGTTTAATAAAGAAAATGTTTATTTTAAAAATAATTCAGTACTTCTTTATTATCGACACCATTTATAAGAATATATCATTGTTTGCTGAATTCAAAACCATTATTTTATTAATAGCAATTGTCAACTTATCTCTGCCTTGATCATATTTTTTAATGGAAGAAATTTTCTAAGTGTCTGATGTTATTAAATCACTTTTCTCTATTTTGTGTACCTGTAAGGTTTCAGGCTTCATAATCGATGGTGGTTGGGACTGAAGCTATATTTATAGCATTTACGATTAATATCAAAATAACAATTTAAAAACTTATCATAGCTTTGATTATGAATGTTGTAAAAATGTTATAACTAATCAAAGAAACTATTTCATGATTAAAAAAAACAACACTATCATATAGATAGTGAAAACAGTTTTCCAATAAATGTTAAAATATTTTCATACTTTGTTTCTAATTCATTGATATATGGTAAAATCACGTAACAATACAAGGTATTATTACTTCCTCCGATATCACTATTGTTGTGGCAGGCTGTAAACCATAAAACAATCAGTTATTAGATGATAGGTAAAACATATTCCAATAACTGTAAGTCTACTTCAGCTTACAACGCTTAGCTTCTGTCTGGAACCTTACATGTAATATAAATTGTTTAAAGTGTGATAAACTATCGGTGAATTTGATAACTGTGATGCTAAATATATTAAACCCATCGTCTCATCGTGGTATATTCTCAACTCTTCTGTCTTATTCTCGACTCAACACCACTAGTGAATTTAAACAGTTGTAAAACCAAAAACACTTATCTAATTTAGATGGCTTACCTAAATTTCATTTCACTTTAGATGGCCGATTTCGTAACTTTGTGCGTTACCCTTTCAATGAAGTCCGCCAAGTCGGTTAGAAGACGGAGACGTATTTTTTAACAGCGTGTTGTGTCGCTCATACTGACTCTAGCGAGGTAGGCAAGGTCTTATTTTCTCACTAAGATGTTCATTTATATTGTTCAGGCGTTCACAGGGACTGACACGCGACCGTTTAGCAGTAAAAAGTTGCCCAGTAAAATTGACTGGGAAGCCATTGGAATTTCGACAAGGATTCAATAGAGTTCCTTAACGTAGAGGCCGAGTGTAATGAGACCTACGTTCAGAGCTGAACTGGGTTATATAAAGATTGATATTTTATTTTTATCAGAGGTTTAAAACAGTAGAGTTGAGAATATTACATGAGAAGACATGTTTTATTAAGACATGGATATAGGTACAAATGAAGGGTGATCTAGTGGGGGAGTATGTTGTGTGTGTGCGTGCGCATGTGTGTGCTTTGTTTTTAATTATGTTAACCATATATGTTCTTTCTACCAGAAAAACTTTGAGCAGACTTTAAAAATGTCTTTCAGATTTTTAAAATTCAGTTGAATAATGAGAATTTTGTAGAATACGAGGCCTGCCATCATTAGCCCAGTGGGTGTACAACATTAAACTCCATTTCATTCCCAAGATAATGGGCTGACCTTCAGTTCATATATTTTTTTTTAATTTATTTAATTGCCCTCCACATGTCATTACTTAAAACAACACCTTGTTTATTCAGTGAAAAATAAAAAAAGGAATTTTGATTGTTCGGAATAGAAAATTTAAGCAAACATGCATTTATTAAAGATGGATTGTGAATTGTCACGACTAAATGAAAATTAAAAAAAACCCAGCAAATCGGTCATCTTGTTATAAAAGTAATATAATCACGTGTAGAAACATGTGGATACTAGTTGAAAATTTCTGTCTTCGTTATGTACCGCATAAAAAAAAAACTGGAAAAACCACCATAAAATTCATCAGCTGATGCATAATTTATTACTCAACTGTACTTGGCAATATTTCTCAGAAATATCCGGGTCTCCAACCTTTATTTGCATTATTAAACTGTGTTCTTTGTATAAAAATGAAAATAGCTGGTTAAATTGACTATTTTAGACACCACAATTATTTAGCTTTAGGACATCTAGCTAGAAAATGTTGGCAGGCAATGTGTTAGATTGATGTATTGAAATATTATAAAAACATAAAAATGCAAAAGCCTGAAGCCTAAAACAACTGGGAATTAACATATTTTAACGATACATTTAATGGTGTTGTGATCCAACAACTTATAGCAAAGTTAACAATTTTGCATTAAATTAAATTCCAAGACCGTGACGAATTAACTTCTAAATGAAAATACTGCCGATGGGTTGAAGAATCCCTGTACAGTGCATGCAAGACTGGGTCTAGGTGATACGCGGTTGGGGATCAAATTAAGAAAGTGTAGGTAATATTCCCAGAGCTATGAACTTGATTTGTTTTGCGTTTAAGTGAGAACTAAATTTTTAAACTGAGTAACCCGAGTTAGAAAAATAAAACCTACAAAAACAAGCAAATAAATGGAGCTCAATCAATTAGACTATAACTGTTAATACAATTTTTGCATTTAATTTACATATCTCCATCCTGTCTTTATTAGCCCAGTCGGTGCAGAAAAGTAGGATGTTATACCCCTTATAATTTACATATCTCTATGATCTCCCTGGTGCAACCCAAACCTGCAATGTCTTCATTTTCTAGATAAAAAGATGACGTGAATGAGTTTCGTTGTTTAACTCGACTCTACCCTTTAACTATTTCAGTATCTTGGATCAAAGCAAATTTCTAACAATCTCATTTCTTTTAACTAAACAGTATTCTTTAACTATTTCAGTTTCTAGAGACACATCTCAGATCAAACGAACCAAATATGATTTTTAAATCTCGTCAAAGTTTATTTTTAAGGACTGCTCACTGTTTGTAATTATGTCTGAATGTTACAATGCAACTGCAATAAATTGAACTATGGTCTGTTTTCTTATTTGTCTTCTACCACTTTCCAATATTGTAAAAAAATACTAGCTGTGCTTTATTTTACAGGCATCCTATGGGTAATAAATAAAATTATATTGTTTCTGCTAAATCTGTGTTAGTTGTGCTTTTGTTCAATGGAGTGAGCCACGGTGGCTTAGTAAAGTGCTGGCTCACTAACCAGGAGGCTGAGGGATCGATCCGATTTTGGAAGAGAAAGTTCCATCAGATTTTCTAGAGTGATTTTCCCTTTGTCTAGTGCAGGTCGGAGGGCCCGACACAGAACTGCATAGTCGTGCACACTTTGGTCTGCACATAATGAAACCTTTACAGTTAGAATTTGAAATAGAGTAGTGTTGCTGTCTGGGCAAAAAAAATTCCCTTGTAGCACACACCTGGTTCCTTTACAACTCATGTTAGAATAATCACAACCAAAACTGCAGCTAAAATATTTTAAGAAGGCAGCTCGGGCTTGAATCGATGCCAGCAACAGTTGTCCAAATACTTTTAAACAGTTCTGGACCTACTCAAGTGTTACTGCAAGGAGGTTTGGGTTGCCAAATGGTTAGACATGTGCTTTAGATCATGATGTCTGTCATGGAGCTGTATGGCACAAGAAGTAGGGTTGCACATCTAACCTGGTCCTACACGCAAGCTAACGTGTTACCTGGAAATGACATTACCCCCCCCCCCCCCCCCGTTTCTTTCTTTCCCACTTGTCAGGTGTGTTGCATGATGACCAAAAAAGTGTGCCTAGTTGAAATGGTTAAATTTCTAGATCAAGAGCTGGCCGTTCTTGTAATGAACTTAAAAAATAGATAATAAAAATGAATATATTGAAGTTTTGACAAAATATGAGATTTAGTCCTTCAATGGACAGTCTGTCTAATCCACTCAATATCTTAGCCATCAGGTGGTCTGGGGAGTTTCTTTTGATCTGGTCATGTTAATAAATGTCTAAACAATAATTGATATCCCATTTGAAGTCCTAAAAAAGAACAGCAATAGACAGATTTAGTTCATACAAAATGCATCTTTAAAGCTAGCAACTTGGGATTCAGATAAGCAATTTTCACCACACTCATTTAAATGTCAATTTCATACAGTTTCTTGGCCAATTCTGTTATTTTGAACATTATGACAAAGGACTGTCCGTTCCTATTAATCTGTAATATGAAAAGGCATACAGCGGAATTGGTCCAGATTCTTGGCTGGTTATAACAATGAGGCCGATACGCAAAATTCTACTTGAAAATAGTGTTGGATTGTTATAAATTTGTGTCTGATGTGGCAACAATTGATTCCTTAAATTTTTCTTAGATGTTGAGCCAAATGATTTTTTTTGATGAACACAAAAGAATTATGGTGAAAAATAGAAGGTAACGACTCTAAAATAGCCTTAGAATAGAGGGGGGAGGGGGTAGAGCAGTATTTTCATGTTGCAGAGAGAGGACTTCGTCTTTGAGAGACAGTTCTGAAGGATATGTCACGATCTAATTTAAAAAAAAAATGATTTCAATAAAACCACTGACAGAAAATTGGTTCTAACATTCTAGACCAAAAGATATTTTGCAAAAGGCATGGAAATTAAAGAATTGCTATCATGAATAATGGTGAAATTATTACTTTTATTCCAGAAAAGAATTAAAGTTGTCTCCCTTTAATTGCCACACCATTTTTTTGGCTAAAATTTAAATATTTGCCAGTTTTCGATATTTTGATTTTCACTGTCATATCGCAAAGACAGGATTGATCAAATCTATACTGAAATATATTGCTTTGACCTTGGGATCACTTAACTCAACAATAAAATGGGGTTTAATGTCCGTCCAATTGGGCTTATAAAGATGGGCATACGCCATAGCCTACAATGTGCTTTATGAGGGAAAGTTTGCCCAGACAGCCGCACTACGGCCAACTGTGATTTCTACTTCCAACTGTTGAGGTTTCTTTCACATGTTTTACATGGGACCTCAGTTTCTCATTCCATCCGAACAACTAGACACTGTTCCTTGTTAGGCCCTCTGTCCAACACCACAGACAAGAAACTTTCTCGTCCAACAATGGGAACAAACCCAAGACCTCCTGGTTAGCAAGCCAGCGTCTTACTCACTGAGCCACTGCAGTTCCTTACCTTGATTGCTATGTAAATCTACTTGATTTTCTTTTCATCTAGGCGGTTGATGGCCGAATGGTTCACATTGGATCATGATTTCAATTCTCGGCTTGTATTGACAAGGAGTAGGGTCGCCTGACGAACCTCGTCGGTTTTCTCATAGTCCTCCGGATTCCTCCAACTGCTAAAAATCCCTACTGAAATAAAATTGAACCATATGTTAGAACTGAAATGAACTAATTTGTGTCCAGTGGACCTCTCTCTCTCCCTCTCCCTCTCTCTCTCTCTTTATCTTAATCCTGTAAACAATTTGTTGTTTCTCCTTCGTTGAACATTTTAATCCCCTTGATGTCAGTCAACAGATATAAAAACTAGCCAAAGATATCACATATCCTAATAAAGTGAAGTCTATTACTTGTTGATCAAAGTCAATCAACTTGTCAGTTAACCTTTAATAGTTCACGATCCAAGTAATTAGTACAAACGGTAATTTTGATAATCCTTAAATATACAAGCTTGATAATTTTGCATACATGTATAGGATAAGAAAAATGAAATGGAGTTTAATGTCCTACTGTTGTGCTGTGACAGGGCTAATGAAGATTGGCATACGCCATACAGTGGGCTATGAGTGAAGTTTTGCCCCGGACAGCAGCACTACAGCCTACTATAACATCGAATTCCAACTGTAAAGGATAAGGGTGGAGTGAAGCCAGTGCGGTGGCAATGCTTCAGACGTTTGTTTGTTCGAAGTTAATTCAATGGATGTAGGAGGAAAAAATATGCCCTCAGGACACGCACCTGAGAATTTTTGTCGTGGAATTTTTCCCATTCTAAGAATAACACTTGGAGGCCATTGCTATTTGAATGCAAATTATATGAGGTGTTTGATTCCACTCTGCTCAGTTTGAAAGGGGGAGGCAAAGATCTTTTGGGAGGGATTTTAAATGAAATGGGGTCTAAGATCCTACTTTTCTACCCCAACTGGGCTATTGAATACACCAGGCCCCGAGTTCACAAAGCATTCTAAGACTTGAGTTAAGAATTTACTCAAAATTGTTCGCCTTAATTTATCTAAAATAAAACTTATTTTAATGTATCAAATACATCAGAAACTATGTGCAAGTATTTGTGTTTCTAGATCAAAGATATTTCTCATAAACAAGTGATTGAAAGTTGAGTAAATTCTTAACTTAAAGGAACTAAATCGCTAACATTTGGGACCTAGAAATTGACACAAGTGGGTCGCAACTCATATAATACTGTCATATGAATGTATATAAACTGATTTTCATTCAATCGTTTCCGTTTTTACTCTAATTTCAAATCAGTTATGTTCCGTGAAATAAGCCAGCAGTTTCAATCGAATGCAAATTCCTAGCGTCTTGTTATTCCAGTCTACATACGCCGTTTGGTTTGGTGCAATATGTCTTGCTAGAACTGGGGCTGAAACGCATTATGGTACACGATTCGTGTACCAAGGGTAAAATATTTATTTTGTCTTAAATATTTGATATCAGAAGCCCATCTTTTTCCGGTAAGATCACAGCAACGATGTTGTTTTAAATTGACAAATAATTCGTGTTTTAAATGTCGAAGATTTTGGATGATATTGAGTTAGAGACTAAGCTACTTTAAGTCTGAGAATGCTTTGTGAACTCACTTTTCAGTCCAAAATTTTTTTAATCAATGATGTATGCGAGAATTTTTCCACGGCAAGTCTAATGCTAGGTTTTCACTGTAAACATTTTTTTTTATTGTAAATGATTTTGCTATCTAATATGCTTTATAAAAACTGCTGGTTTCTTCACAAACACATTGCAGTATGTTTTGTCAAATTGGTACATCGCTCTCTGGGGCCCACAAAGCCCCAGGGGGAGCATAAATATCACTGAATTTTTTTTACGTCAGCCTGGCAGGTATCCCTGATGCCTTACTTTGGCCATTCAGGGGTAAAGTTAGATCATCTCTGAACATAAGTTCTCGTTACACAGGGCGAGTGTAAATGAAATGATATGTTTTGAGCTGAACCAGGGTAAAGTTAGAAACCTTATTTTTTGCATAGTCTTTGCACTGTGTGGGAGACCCAAAATTTACTTGTTCCAGATTCCAGCACATAAAAATTCTCTCGGAGGCCATTGTTCTCTCTCCCTTAGGTGGAGGTGTTTTATTGCCCAAGAAAAGTAAAAAGACATTTGATGGTTGGAAAACACTGGGAGTTATTTCAGAACTAAGCACAGAGATGAGACAAACGTACCGCTGGGCCGATTTATTACTAGTATTTGTTGTACTTTTAGCACCTTCAGACTTAACAGTACCATTTGACCAGCTTCAATTCACCTTTGTCGTACTACCGGACTTCTTTATTTGTTGTGTTCCTTGTGATCGTAAATAATACTACAGCAACAATGATTTCACAGCTTTATTAGTAAACTGGAAATAACTTTGCAGGTTCCTCGTTCTCAAATATATAATGACTGGTAAGAATTTCTGGGTGAGCTCTCATCTAGCTCTCCTCTACAACCTAATTTATACCCCCTACTTTTCCCAGGTCTTCAAAAACCTTGACGTGAATTTCCACGCCATATAAGGAATAAAACTCTATATTTCCCACAAACAAAACAAGCAACATTACCTATTTTTGGTCAACCGACCATAGGTCAATAAACAGCTAGAATTTGATGACTATTTTGACAATGATTATAATTTAACTAAAACATCACTGTTTTTTACGAACAACTATAACCACGTTCATTTAGTACTTATGATTTGACTTTATAGACCAAATTGAAGAGACAATTTTATAAAGAGCCAAAATTGTCTCAAGGGCCATAGTGCTACACCTTTCCCACTTTTCGACTAGAGAATAGATTTTTTTTTATCATGATCAACTTTTTGAAACATTGTTGATATTTTGATAGCTGCAGCCATCATAGGGCTCTCTAATAATCCTGCTCTGCCAATTTGTATAAAGATGAATATGATTAACTGGATCTGATTTCTAACTTTCTGATAAACAGGTGATTGTGTAATCAATGCAGACGACTTTCAGTCCAACTTAGATAATCCTCCACCCCTAAAAAGATCTTTGCCTTCCTTCCCCTTTTGCTAAATAATCACTCCCCAATGATCTTTGCCTCAAAATTTTTTGAACTGAGCAAAGTGGAATCAAAGAGCTTATTTAATTTGCATTCAAATAGCAACTCCCAAGTGCAGCTGTCAGTGAAAAATTTCCCCCATACAACACTGTATGGTATATGCCAGTCTTCATTAAATTAGTCCTGTTGGTGCAGAAAAGTAGGACGTTAAAACACCATTCATTTCCAAGAGTAAATTTAAAGACAGAAATTCTTCACTTTTCTGTTGGTTCGTTCTTAAGGCTTAATGTCCGCTTCCATTTTGGGTGATATCACAGACACATGTTTCTCGAGAAACTTGCCAGAGGAGCCAAATGATAGGCTTAGTCGAGCATAGGTAGGAGACGCAAGATCAATTAGAAGGACTCCTTGATTCTGTTTCTTTTGGGTAAAGGACACAATGCCTTTATGTTTCATCCAAAGGAGTTGCTCCCGGTACAAGTAATAGAGTATTGCATAGGAGACTGTCCGAATGATGGTGAGCTTGCGCAGTCTGACCGACGTTACCATCAAGGATATGAACTTGCCATGGCTGGATGGCTCCAGGTAAAAGTAATAGAGTATTACATTGGAAACTGTTGAAATGATGGCGAACCTGCGGAGTCTAACCCACGATATGAACTTGCCAAGGCTGGATGGGTATGGAGGGTAAATCTGGCTGGAGTTGGTCCTGGGGGCCCACCACCTGCCATGTTCCTGTGGCAACAACCGCGAGTTTTACACACAGAGAGAGAAATGGGGTTTAACATCCACTTGACACATGCTAGGTGATTTTGGGACTAACATATGGTTCAATTTTATTTCAATAATTCGCTTGTGTGTAAGGTCTTTTAGCAGTGGGAGGAAACCGGAGGACCTGAAGAAAACCCACGAGGTTGAACAGACGACCCTACTCCTTGTCACGTACAATCAGGGAATTGAAACCATGCCAGTTGATTCAATGACAGACCTTATGATACAGCGCACATGTGCTAACCATTTGAACATACACCTCCCACCCCTGCGAGTTTTACAACATCTAGCCAAGATGTATGGAGTTAAAGTGAGATCAAGCTTTATGTTGAAGATGACCACCTGCCTGACTTTGGCCCGGTCATTTCTGATCCCGAGTCCAGTAGAATTGGCATCAAAAACAACAAAATCAAAAATATGGATTTGTAAGAATTTTATTCTCCACTTGGTTAAATGACTGGTTTTTCTAAAAAAAATCCAGTTTTTTAAAAAGGTTTATTAGAAATGGGTTGACAACTATGTGAAATAAACATCTTTAAATAACAAACTAATTATTCCTTTTATATCATCATCAGTCAGTAATGTCGTTAATTTATAATAAAACATTCAATTTCAGTCCTGATCGTCATTCGAGGGACTTTTTATTTATCCCATGCAAACTACAATATTGTAAAAATTGAATCTCTTAAAGGTGTACAAGTCAAATATGATTCAGAATTTACAACCATAAGATGAATTATTAACTTGTTTTTGTTTTCATACTCAAATAATCAATTTGAATAGATTTTGGAGTTGATCAGGAAATAAAAATTTGATATTCTCCGAAAAAATACGAATGACGATCATTGACTTGAAAGATAGTCTTGCTTTCTGAATTTACACGTAACAGCATTTTCAAAAACAACAATTTTTATTTTTATATAAAAAGAGACGTTAGTAATTAGAATAAATAACGGACCAGATCTAGAGATAGAAATAAATATGTCAGAGAGGGTCTGACAATTTTTAGTAAAAAAAAGAAAACAACCAGTGACATGGATGACCACGACAACAAGGGGAAGAAACAAATAATTTATTATAATAACAAAATGATATGTTTGAGTTTTCGTTACAATCATTCAGGTTTATTTTTCACAAGATTTCTATGGTTTAAATATGCATATATACCGGTAGTTAAATATAGTCAAATTCTTTCATTCATGTATGCAGGTGATCAGCCTTAAATCAGCTAAAATTAAAATGCATTAACCGAATCAAAAATTTCAGAGAATACGTCTGGTAGTTGAAGGTGTATCCTGGATCAAATCTTTTCAAGGAATATGTATGAGCTAAGTCTGGATATCCTGTTGAATTCAATCCAGATAATTCATTTCATTACGTTTATAAATAAATTTCGGTGTTTTTTTATTATGTGAGCAAGTTAACTCAAGGATATAAATCAACTAGGATGAATCAGATTACAGAAAATTTGAAAGAACTAAATGGTATGACATGGGTGACCAATTAAAACCTCATTTACATGGGTAAAATAATTTCTACGAATTTGAAAGCCGGAACAAAAATGTCCCTATTCAACTTCTCTTAGAGTGTTTGTAACAACCCAAAAATCTGGTAAATGAAATTTGATAATAAACTTATGTATAAATTTGAATATCCTGACTCGAGGGATAGGCTTATTTCGTAAAGAAATTTTCTCTTGACTTCCCATTGATAAAAATAAAAACCAAGGTCAAGTCAAAATACCAGGGTTGTAAATAATATTGAATGATTTGCCAATAGAAGATCGAAAACATCTATTATTCATTATACAAAAGGGTGTTTTGACTTGTTATAATGTCCTCAAGGATTTAACGCCAGCACTGATAGTCTGATCAGATACTTAACGGAACTCCTGTTTTTATCCCTTTTTACTTTTTTAAACAGTATCTTATGTCTGTCTTTCAATGATATTTTAATCAGACAGTCACCCAAAATTCTTCCTTGTTTTTGTCACGATTTATTTTAAACTTAAATAACAAAGTCAGTTTATATCACAGTTAAGTACAAAACAAGGGTCTGGAAAGAAGGGGATAACGATGGGGAGATTGTAAGGATTTAGGGGCAGAGGGTGTGTCGGGGTCGGGGGTGGTTGGGTTGGGGGGAGATAAACAAGTCACAACAAATTTTGTTAACTTTGGATGAAATAAATAAAACAGAACAATCCTGTCAGAGTTCTATAAATAAGAATTAATTTTACGTTTTCTGACGACTCATTGAAGTAGAGATACAACGACGTAATTTGAAACCCTTGCTTTTAAACAATTTGTTAAATTAATGTGAGTTAGTTAGGTCATGCTTTGATGAAATAAATATAAATAAACAAACAAACAAGATGCTAATAATAATCTCACACATCCCTGAATCACGCTTCACTTCCATCCACACACACACACACGCTCACATTTACACGCGCATTTATTCAACACATAGAATGGAATGAAAAACACAAACGAATATTTTTTCTTGGTTAAAAGTTAACAAATTCCGTAACAACACTAGTAACAACAAACAAACAATATTAACTTAAAAAGTAATTTTTTTAAGAGTCCATTTCGAAAGATCCGTGTTAATTAATGAAGAATCGTCTAATCTATGTTATTCATTCAATCAAGTCATCGATTAATTCACAATCATTAATTATTAATTAATTATTAATTATTATTAATTATTTCAACAAACTGGGGGAATTTAAACACTATGTATCACAGTTTAGTTGAAACGTAAAAACATCGTATAAATAACCACAGATAAATTAATTAAGCCGAGACAAATACGATTGGTCAGTCCAAAGAGTCCATACTGATCACCTGACCAATCAAATCAGCTCAAATCTGTTCAAATACACAAAATGGCCATCGTTCATTATTTAGGGAGCACACATTCAAATGAGTCAGTTGGCAGATAATTGTTCAAATACTATCAAAGCAACCGTAACGTCATATAATATATATATATATATATGCACTTTAATAAAACAGTTCTTTTCTATTCCACAGCACAATGCATCAGTTTATCACTTCACTATAGGTACTCATAGTCGCATTGATGACACTCGACAGTTTATCAGTTTAAGAGTTACCTTCTCCTTATTGAGTATAAGTTTGTAAAAATTCATAAAACGTGTTCGCCATTTTTCTACCTGACACAAGTTTTAGGTAAGAAAAAAACACCACCATGGCATTCCACTAGAATTAACACTCCCTGAGATGGAGCCAGCGGTTCATGATATATAACAAAACCACTCTGTAAATTAGAGCATGCTCTTTAAGATGACGTTACTATGGTGACCATACAAATGACCTCTCTAAGAGACTCCCTAAAACAAAGAGTTAGGAGAGCTATCACATGCTTCATTTCTTGTCCAAATGTCTGTTATCCTTTGAGCCTTTCGAGTCCTTGTGACTATCGGTGACTCGAATCACTAATGTGTCTTTATTACTAGAATCCCCCTTCCCTTTATCCTCGTCATCCATGGGGAACTGAAACTTTGTTTCCTCCTCCTTCTCGTCACCATCCTCTCCGTCGTCGCCTCTCTTAGTGCAGAAACTTGACGAAGGACTGATGGGGATCATACTCTGGAACCAATCACGATTATCTTCTAAGGTGTCCAAGATATCTTGAGCGTCTGGATATACAAGATCGGCCCACGTTTCCCATAGCGGATGAACAATATAATCTATAAATCCAACCTGAAACAATAAAGAAACAACAAATTTATTATAATTGCTCGATTGAATATCTGTTTTAACAATAATTCATAGGTCCTTTAAGTCTTATGAACAATTAAAATTTGGAGAAAATCCAGTCCGATTGGTGCAGACAAGTAAAACTTTAAACACCATATAATTTTCTTTTACTTGCAACACGTGTCTAATTATTGACCCCAATTAGCTTTTAGTGCATTTACTTTAATCAACCACCATGAAGTGTATGATGTATGGAAAGTAATATTCAAATTTTAAACGGTTTGGACTCTTTTTAGTGCATCAACTTCAACTAATACCGTAAAGTGTTTGAAGTAAGGCAATTTAACTTCAGTTTGTAAACTGTTGATGACTCTTACCTGAGATTTTTCAATGGTTGCTGTTTGTCTATCACACATCGGACTGATATCTAAACCACGCCTTCGTTCAGCATCACCTTGTTCAAAAAACTCGTTCATTATTCTATCTGTCCACATTTTATATAATTCTAAAGGTTTTGTGGGATTGCTCAGATCTGAACAGTGAACCATATTCTGTAAAACCTGCAACAAGAAAGGAGAAAAATTAAATGAAAATTCATTTTGTAATAATATTTTGTGTGGTCTTTTTTTTTTTGATTCAGGAGTTCATTCGCAAACATTCAAGGCAAGCTAGACAATATACTTTCAGCTTCTGATACCAGTAAGGCCTTAAACGAAAGAGTTTGCCACCTTAAGAAACTATTATAACATTCTGTCTTTTTCCTTTTTCTACACACACTATCAATTTTTTTGTGCCCTATCCTATGGACATAAACTAGTAATTATTTGATCTTAGAAAATCTTGGATTATCCTACCTGGATTCTATCTGTGTAGTTGTCGAGCAATAAAACACCAGATCCAGCCACTTTCTTCGTTTCCACCATAGTTTTAAGATCAGCCAGTAACGTCATATGTTTAGACATGTCTGTAGCTAGAACCATGTCAATCACCATTTTACGAAACGTCTGGCGTTGTTTTTTACCCAAGTTAGCGATAATGTCACAGTTTTCTTCTTGTAGAAGTTTAAACGCTACAGCCAAATGATGATTCTCTAAAACAGATTCGTCGTTATACATCAACGCTAATTCTGAACCTGGAAGAAAAGAACCCAAAATTATACAATGAAATGATTGGTTTTAACGATATTTTATTTCAAGTATGTGTATATACAATATTGATATAATGATTTTGAAACAAGCCAAAGATTATATAAATTCATCTCCATGGGATTAACGTCATATTTTTCTGCAGGCACCATGCAGTGTGCTATGTGGAGAATTTTGCCTGGACGGCCGAGCTACTGCCTACTCTGTTTTCATATTCCAACTATCAGGGGGTCCTTTACGTGCACACCAACTTGAGCCAAACTTAGTGCCGGACAAAATGACAGGTACTAGAGGGATTGTTTCTGACAATGTCTGTGACAGGTGTCTTATTTAAAGTCTTGAAAACAAAATTCATTAACTAACCTGATGCCACAAGGTACTGGTTTGTTAAACCTGGATGATCAACATCGTGAATTGCAGACGCAAAGATTGCCGCTAACGTTTCTAAATCTGTGAATACATTCTGAAAAAACAAAATATCATAAAATTGAGATAAATTATTTATAAAAAAAAATCTTTTTGGCTGGGGGTAGTTAGCTTTAAAAGATATGGTTGTAGACAGAAAATCTGAAATTTCAGGGTTTTCCTAAATATTTATAATCATTATGTCATCATTTTATCTCGGACAACCTTTAAATCACAAACTATGTCGTAAAAACATATCTCTCGGGTATCCGGTTTCTTTTAATCATGCAGATGTCAGTAACTTTAACTGATAATTTTATATTCCAAATAAAGATAAAACATGCTGGTAATCCGCGTGAATGCCAGGAATCTGGGACTAAATTTAATATGTCTAATTGTGCCGACATGGACAAGATATAACCGGTTAAGCGAATGGAACGAACATAGAACCAGAATCAACCGAAATAATCTTTCTAAAATGTCTTTAGCAATTAAATATCAAATAAGATAAAAGAGACATATAAATGTGGTCACATGTGTTGTAACGTCCAATCAAATTATTTCTTCCTAATATCTCCTGGTCATGTGGTATTATGTCCAATCAAATTATTTCTTTCACTTAAATGGCTGTACACTTTTTAAGAACTGTATATTTTTCAGTTAATATTTACATGTTTCATGTGCTAAAGGGTTCAAGCATTTGCCCCTCCACTCTCCCCTTACCCTTTCTCCATATCCACTTAAAATAAAATACATGTATTGTAATTACCTCTACCCTTTCACCCTGTCCCTTACACTATCCCCTTGAAATAAAATATTGTAATTACCTCTAAAGCTGGTACAGAGAGTAGAACATGTGTCGATTGAGTGACGTCTGCTGCGTGGATGGAATTATGGTATGGCACATCATTATGATAATGTTCCTCGAGATGCAGCAAGTACGTTACTAATGTCGGTGCAGGGATTTTAAACGTTTTCATTAAATCTCTGTCCTGAAATCAGAAACAATCCAAAAATTATATTTTGAAATCCAGGGGCCCTTTTTTACAAAAACTTAAAACTAAAACATTCAGATTAAAAAAATTTTAAATTCATAAAGAACAACCCAAAATTGTAATCTGACCAGTAGTGGAGCAAAACATGATGTAACATTGAAATCAATTCATGTTTTAATAGATCGAGCTGGATGATAGACATTAAAGGTCCAGTTAAAGTCAAATCTACATAATTTGCATGTAGAAATACGGGCCAGCAATTACATCAGATATGTTATTTATAGATTGAAGGACAAACATGCCAAGTTTCATGTTGATCGTACTTGAACTGCTGGCGCCTTAAGCCTTTTTTCTCAGAGCTTCGCCCAAAGAGGAACAAGATAATTTGCGGTATTCCTAAAAGATTGTTCTTGATACAATACAATTTATTATTAAGCTATACAAATACACAGGTAGAATATTATATATTGAGTAATACAAAAGGTAGAATAAATTACCTGAAATATGGTGTAGACAACAGCTGTAAGGGGTTTGTTATTCGAGTATGTTGCTATTTTAAACATGTCAACTCCCCATTTATCTATCTCACCTAAATACTGAAAATATACAAAATAAAACAATGGTTAATACACTAGGTAGATTAACATTCCAAGTGAAGCCATCATTCCGTTCAGTTATAAGTCATGTCTGGTGCCATGTACAAGACAGGGCATGCTAATTGGTCCTAGAGCAGTTTTTTTTTATTTGTATGTGGAGTTCAGATAGTGATAGGTGCCATATGTGGGGCAGAGTACATTTATCTTTCTGAAAAACATATAACACTCTTTGTTTATTTTTGGAATTTAACATAGAAAACTTATTTTGTTGCAATTTGTCTTTGTAATCTTAAGTGAAAATCTCAATTCAGTTCGTTCTCTTAAACTCCCTTCGAGATTAGAAAAGCCAATTCTATGAAAATCTCATTTAATTTAGATATTCAAATATATTTCATTTATTTGATTTGAAATGAAACAGGAGTTTTCCTTTTGTTTTTATCTCTTGACTTTTGTTTTATCTTTGCTCTTTTTCCACCAGACAATTAAAAAAAAATATGTTTAAACTTCTTTACTCAAAAGAAACTAAAGCGCAAGAAAATAGAGAGTGCAAACGGATTAAGACCTTAAACTATTTGTAGAGTCAAAAGGTGAAGTGAGGTAATTTACAAATGCTGGACGTGAAAGATACCAGGAAGAGCACCGAGCGTTACTTCTGCGTAACTCACCACGAATTACGAACAGTTTTTAACTCTCGGTCAACAGTCAAACAACCTTGGGAATTCCAAAGTCAATATTTATTTGAAGGGAAAACAGTGTTTGTTGGACAGGCAAAAGCCAGATATTAACCAAAAAAGAACAAATTCGCTCTACGTCAAAAATAAGTAGTATCAATAAGGACCAAGTACTGTGACGTACAACTTTGCGTGACTTTTGCTAGAAATATTTCTTCCTCCGTAAAAAAATAAGTAGACTCAAACACCGTTCTTGTAGCGTATTTATAACGTAATATATTTACCCTACAAATTACTCAAAGTTTTCTGTCCGTAAAAGTCAAGCAAATTGTTAGTTCAAAGGACTAAATACGTCCCGTAAAGAATTGCCAGAAACCATTACATCTTATAACGAACACCTGCTCTTATCTCTGTCAAATGAATTCCTTATTTTAAATTCTAGGAATAACAATTTTTTTTAAACCTTCAATTAATATGTTTTGATTTAGAATATATCATGCAATCAAACACCTGAAATTCTGAGATTGTTTGATTCCCTGAAAACCTGACATTTTTTTTAGGAGTATCACAGATTAAGGTTAATCTGTTACATGTAAATCATGTTGGTTTTTCTTTATTTTTACATATAAGAAGCAACAAAAGAGAGATTAGAAATGATGAAACAACTTAGGATTAGATATATATCATAAACTTAATCCAATCCAACAACAATTATTAGCGAATTACAATTACAGATTAACTGCCATAACGTGTATTCGATTACTATTTTTCAATATTTTTGATATTGACATCAAATCCCATTCCTATGTATTACCCGCAGATTAGATGAGATAAATACATATATGCAAAGATTATCTTTAAAATCTTAAATACTTTAAACACAATTCTTCTATATTAAAACCACTTTTGTTCGGTCCTCATTAACTCAGCTCAGAACGCAGGATGTTAAACCTCATATCATTTCACTAGTCAGGGTTTGTTTTTTTTAAATGTGCAAGAAAGCAAACTATACAGATAAATCCTCTAGCTGTTAACGCTTTGCATGTTCATATTTTTATACTTTTAAAATGTCATTTTTCGGGGAAAAGTTTATACAAAATATTTTTGGGGAAATTTTCATTTTTTCCGTCTCAAAATATTATTTTTTTACTAGAGTGCATAATATTACTAACCTTTGCTAATTCCTGTGGATGTGGAGTTTCTACTCCATATCGTGGAACGATACCGGTAAAACTGTTGGCGTGTTTAAGCTTCCTTACACCGGAGATCTGGGACATAGGTCGATTTGGTTCTACAGTCTCTGCCACTTGATGAACTGGGTCAACCTTTAATGTTGGTAGATCCAATTCCTGTTGCTTATCTGAAGAGAGAAAAATTCAAAATTTTAAAATCATTGTCTGCCAGTCTACTTGGAAGATACACATTTGCTACGCACATCAACATCCTTGTATTGTTATTGTAACCCATAGAAACCATTTCAAAGACATACAGTAAATGTCCTTGGGGAACAATCGCAATTAATGCATGTTTACAAAACATAACTCACACAATTACGCCTCGTAACTATTTTCTTTTTATCGTACACTTGAGTTTTGATTTCATGTATCATTTGTAAAGGACGCAAGGCAATTGTCCATATCTTGTGAAAGAAAAGAAGAGGAACAGAAAAAAAAACAGAATGAAAAGCTGCATCAACAGTAAAATGAACTCAATGCCATCAAACAAACAAAAAAACTATAAACAAAACGATGACGACAAAGACGTGGGCAGTGACGTCAGTTGTAGCAAGAACATCAAATAGCCGGATCAAATTTGTGTATTTTTTAACAGAAAAGTTTGCCTATGTCAATTAGTTGTTGATTTTGGTTGTTTTCCTGGGTCGATCAAAACATACACAATAAATCCACTCACTTTTAAACTTCTTTTTACGATTAACGGAAAACTGGCATCCGAAAAACAGAGATTTCAAATTCAGTTTAGAAAGTATCATATCAACAGCTGACGTCATGTTAATTCCAAAGTGTTTTCTTTGCAAGAAATTATGTTTCAATGTCCTTTATGTTATACAGTTATGTTTCACAATGTAAAAACAATTCTTATCATGAGTGTTTTCTTTCCTAGAAATTATGTACCTATTTACGTCACACAGCTGTGTTTCAATCAAGAACGTTTTCGTTCCAAGAAATTCTGAATTTATGTCCTGATGTATAAAACTTGTCTGTATTTCACAATGTGAAGTAATTCTGATGAAGACAGTCATACAGAAAGCTTTATATCTATGTATACCCGTGACTAAGTTATCAAAATATGCAACCTTTAAAATCAATAATTCAAAATTAATCACCTCCGATTATCCAATAACACAATAAGTGATTCAACATGGTTTGAATTATTTGAAGTTGACTTCACATATACGACAGTATCAAAAAGACGCATCTGTTCGTCTGACTTAATGCTAAAACAACAGGAAATAATTTGTAGAAACAAACCAACGCAATAAAAGACATCCAACAGCTAAAAGGGTAGGAAGCCAGCTTACAATTACACCATTAGCAATGATGAACGCTGGCAGTTTGACGTCAATAAGTCAAAAACATAAGAACCCTGATCACTAGCAGTTATCAGTTATCAATTAAAATTAACGAAGGCGTGGGGTGTCATACTTCATCTCAGGCTAAAGATACCGTCAACATACGTCATTATTATTTCATCTTTAATTAAAGGAGAGGAATCCTTATCTGTATCCGTATCTTTATTGTTAAAATTAACTGTGGAGTAGTAATCAGGCAAATACAGGTGCTTCATCAAAAGACCAAATGGAACCATTGTTATCTATCAATTAAATTCTTGATGACTAATTCCCTTGATGCCTATCCTCCCAAAATGATTCATTTTGAATAAATTCTCATATTGACAACAAAAACAAATATCCTTGGCATATTATTAAAAATATAATTCACAACAAAATTTAATAATGAAGAATTAATCATAGCTTATTATCAATATCAGTTTACCATATCCTTGGTTGGCATCATTAAAATATTAAAAAAACAACATATTGAATCCCAAAGGATTAATCATAGCTTTATAAACAATATCAGTTTACCTTAACGAGCTACAATTCTTGAAATTATTAGTCTACCTTACAAATGATTTTAACAGAATCAAATTTTCTGTGGGGCTTTTATTTACAACCCAGCTTGTAAGCATGTCTGTAATTGCATTTTGATTATTTATAACTTCCCTGAAAATTTGCAAGGACGAATATTTTTAGCTACTTGTGTAAACAAGAACAGATCATGTTAGAGTGTGTACCTGGGCCCTAATTATAATGATTGCCAATTCAACTTCCTGTAATTATTCGACAGGTAGAAAATCAGGTTGGTGTAACAAAGGTAGAAACCAGGTAGGCATGTCATGTTTATTCTTTGTTTACTGCCACAGAATATGCAACAGGATTCAATACACAATGATCCCCCCCTGCCAGACATCAAAAGATTAAAAACATGTCTAACCAGGAAAGAACCGCAGAATCAGAAAGTAATCTGAATAAAAATGAAAGAGGACTATTTACTTTGTCTTAATTAACCAGCCACATATCAAATGTTTCCATCCGGCTTATCCAGTGATTATATGCCCTAATGAGTTAAATATGATTATAGCGCAATATTTTTCCTTTTATCTAATGATGTTAATGTATTTGTTTATTTTACATTAAAAAAAAATAAAAATTACAGAGCTTTAGGCTTATGAACTAGCATTATTAAACAATGAATTCTTTGTAGCTGCCTACAGATTTGACATAAATATTATTAGTCTGCCTAGGGCTTCTCAGGGTTTCTGACTGCCTACTGTCTGAAGCATCCAACAAATGACCTTAAAATCACATACGTCATGGAAGACACAGTCTTAACATAGGGTTCATATTGTATGTCATAGCTTACGCATCAATATAATAATTCTACTTTGAACAAAAATCCATTGAACTTTGTGTACCGTTACTTCGCTTGAAGTTCTCTTTCATTTCGGGATATAAGTAATATATTAAATGCATAAATCAAATGGGGTTTAACATCTGCATCATAAAGACAAAGCTTGAAATTAATTAATGGGATTTTTTTTTCTCACATATTTAACAATTTTTGTTAGGATCCCTAGCCAAAAAGGATAGTCACTATTTTAAAAACAAAATTTCTGTAATTATGTAACAAATGATGTCAAATGTTTATTCAATTATTTGTTTGTTATTGTTTTATATCTTTTAAAGAGGAGTGTCAATAAAAAATAAAATTTAAAAAGAAAAAAAAAATTCATCCAAGGTCTAAATGTTTGATACAGATGCATAGTACATGAAAATAAGGGTGGTCTCTTAGCTAGACCATAAATTTAAAATTTATGTTTTTTTTCATCATGAACAGCAGGGACCTAATTTTATTAGGAAGGTCACTGGCACACTTTTGCTCATGTTACCCTGAGAATTGCCACTATATAAATCATATTTAGTTTAAAATACAACAAGATGAGTTATTACTTAACAGTGGTGTTTTTATAAAGTTATCATAAATCTGCTATGTTATGTACACCATTAAATACATCTCCCTTTGCCTGCTCATTTTTTAATATTATCACAAAGATTTTTTATATCTTAAAATTTCATTATCAATAAATTAAATCGGTTATAAGCTTGTGAGTTTTTTAATTCAAGAAAATCTGAATGAGATTTGACTATTTTTTCCCCTTCAAATTCAACATGTTCATATTACAAATATAGGCCAACAAAGATATTTCAATTTTAATATTTTATTATCAATAAATTGAATTGGGTAAGCTTGTGAGAGGCCAATTTTTAACTCTGATAAGTTTTATGAGATTTGGATTTTTTCCCTCAAATTTATCATTTTTTGATATTATAAATTTTTTCGAATGAAAGAAATCCGATAAGTTTCTGACGTGTTAAAATGTACTAATGACCTTTAGTACCAGCAATTTTTTTTTCTTTCTTTTTACACAATTTTTGTAATGAGAAAAGTCTGTTGGACTAATTGTTTCTCTTCGTTTGTGTTATGATTTCGTTGTCAATTCTTTGATAGCAGAAATCAATAGTTAAACCATGTGTCATTGATTCTGAGATCATTTATATCTAGGTCGGTGCTGACGTCAATTCTACGTCACGACAAGATGCTGATTCACTTAGTACTATCATTTACAGACTATTAGTCAGAGATGAAAAACTTTGGCATCAAAGAAATTAATAATTCACGACCTTCAACAGGAAATTTTCAAAACTGCATGTGGCAAAAATGCCTGCAATAATTTGAAAATCTTAAAGTCTCTGAGATCTTAACACAGATTCCAATAAATTCAATTAGGGTTCCAATACACCTTAGTTGTAAGATCGGGGCTAGGACCGAATTTCAGACATTTATAATTACATGAAAAAATTGTCTACAATAAAGCCCATGAATTTACAAGCGCTGGGTATCTTAACAGAGTTTAATAAATTCAATTAGGGTTCCAAAAAATTTAATTTACCAACAAGGATCAGAATTTGTTGAACTTTTGATCTTTTCGGTTATTAGTTGTGATTCATGTCGGTCACTGGGCTAATTTTTTTAGACTTTTGACTAAATCAAGGAACAAAGTAAGGCAATCTGATTTTCTTTTTAATATTTTTAGGAGAAGAAAAAAATCTGGTTCATTTCATCTGTAATTAGATTATGGTACACGAAGTGTGTTGATAAATAGCAATTAAGGTTGTAATATCTAAGGATCTTGTTCCACATGCCAATAATTCCTGCTGTCACAACATTATCTCTTATTACTTTTAATCTATGGCTGGAAACAGATGGATTCTCTGCATGCAAATCCTATACCAGTTGACCAACATATATATATACAGAATCAGATTTTTGATATTTTTTTGATATTTATATACAAAAGGTATTTGTGATATTTATTTTTAATTTGAATTTGACATTCTATTATAATTGTTATTATTGTAGCTATTCATATTTAGTTTGTCTCATGTAGAACACCATATTTGGCACAAAATATGGCCTGGTTGGTGTTTAAACACCATTTCATTCACTGTAAGCAAACATAAGTATACATTTGATCAAGATCAGTCTGGTTGGTGCTGACGGTGCCATTAAATATCATTCATTATAAGCAAACCTATATACAGTTTGACTGATTGGGTCAAGACAAGGATCAGAGATCAAGATGTACAATAGAAACATAAACTGTCATTTATTCGAGATAATATCTCACCGCTATCTATCAAATGTTTCTTTTCATTAACACCAATATACTTTGAATGATATATCTATTCCCACACCTGTTTCGCTTGGACTACACATA